TCTTCCTCCAAAGTGCCCTGTCCATTTACTTTTTCTCCTCCCCCATGCCCTTGATAGTCAGAATAGTTTCTGGATTTGGTGTTTTCTACTTCCACACCTGTGACTAAAAGGTGGCAGCAAAATCAGCAAAAGCTGGGCCTGACTCAACGCACAACCCTCAGCAGACAGATGGGTGCACCCTCAGCCTGCAGAGAGAGCCTTAGTGCAGGCAACTCTTTACATTATAGTGAGCCATACGTTTTGGGGGTTTTTTACCCCTTCCTGGCACTTTTTTTTGCCTTGCTTGAGGTGGTATTCATGAGAGATTGGCTTTCACTGATGCAGTGTGCTCTGATTTGTCATTTTTGACCATTCACTTTTTTTCCCAAGGGAAGGGTTGCAGAGCCTGTATCACAGCCATGCTGCAGCCCTGGACTTTGAAAATCAACACTTGAAATTCCAGTGTAGAGATTTCTTTTAATTTGCTTCAGGTGCAGGCCTTCAGAAATAACTTCCCAGGATGGGACTGCCTTTTATTTTCTGGGCCATTAGCACAAGAAGAGAGCTAGCAGAAGTGGAAGAGAAGTGACTTTTCCACTTAGATACTGGATTAGAAGCTGTTTCTAGAGTTACCCCAAGTAAGAAATATTCTATGGGGTTTCTGTGTAAACTTCTCAGAGGGGGTTTGGATATAATGGGTTAAATGGATTAATTTTAATTAAAAGTTAAATGACTGTGGCATTTGATAGTTCTGTGATGGCTTCTTCTAGACTTGCCCATCCTGTTACAGGTTCAGTGCATCCCACTCTTCTCTAAGCAAGATTTGGCAGCATTGAGACTTCAGAGTCCCTTCCTCACTCTGGACCAAAGGGGCCTTTGGATTTGTGGTGGCTTGCAGAGGATAGAAGTTGCTGGAGACCATGCAGATGCTATCCAAGACCATTTCCATTGCCAAAGCTGCCAAGACCTCTGTTATGTGTCACTCCTGTGTGTGTGTTTGGGAACTGTGGTTTGTCAGGATCATTCACTCACAAACCAGCTCATTTAATCCACATGAACAGAGCTTCTCCAGTTCAGAGCCTGGTTTGGCTTATTTATGCAAATCATGCTGCATGTTCCTTTAGTGGTAGATCAGGTTCTCTATGCATATAATAATAAAAAGGCAGGTAACATACCAAAAAATGTTTTAATTCTGAGTTAACCTTTTCTTTTGTGTTTTTTTTTTTTCCTTTTATCTGGCATTTTCCAGTTGTGGGTCCCTTCTGTATCTGTTACAGGAGGACTGCAGACAGTGCTGGGTTCCAACTGACTGTGAAGATAACACTGGCAGGGCAAACAATTCCTGTGGTCTTGAAAGCTCACCCAGTCCTGATGAAGGAACATTTCCCAGTGCAGGGTCTGCACTCTTTGACTGTGGAGAGCCCCTGCCCATCCTTCCTTCCCTTCCCTCTGCCAGCCCTGACTGCAGGGAGGTTTTTTCACCCTGGCAGCCAAGGCTAGAGCCAGCTTGTGAGTTGAAGCCCTGCAGGAGCAGCTGTCACAATTCAGTCTTGTACCTCTGCTCGTTCACTTGGGGTCTGTTCATTTCCAAACTGCTGTGACATGCTCACACTAAAGGATTTGTACTTGCTGTGTCAGTCTAAAACCTGAAGGAAAATACATTTTTATTCTTTCTACTTGGGTGCTTTGTCTTTTTTTTTTTTTTCCTTTGTGAAAGCCCTGCAATAAACAGATTATTTAATAACTGAGCCCTACATTCCCCTTGTAATTCTGTTCTGAGTCAGGGGCTCAGGGATGGAATTTGCTTCACTAGTGAACACTCAGCTTTGATTTCCAGAATGAGACAGGTAAAGATTTTGTTGCTGGTGTTGTGATCCATTTTTAAAAGGGGAGAAGAGTAAAAAATAGGACAACTCTGCTGGAATTTTCGGAATTTTTCTATTCTAAAATACATTTTTCTTCAAGTCTGTCATATCCCTGCTGTTTTATCTAGCCAAGAGTCTCAATAAAACCTTCCCAGACATTTTTTTAGAGGGAAGCATAACACTGGAAGGTCCTTGTTAGAACTGAACTGCATTGAGTGCAGGAACCAGCAATTTACAGCGAGCAGAGATGAAAGTGATAATGCAGGCTGGTTTGGGGCTCTGACCAGGTAATTGCTGCTTGGTTTTCTGCAGAAATGAGCTGTGCCAAGGGCTGCCATGGGTGGGTGTTGGATGGATGGGAAATGATGGCTTAATCAGATTAATTGGGTGGTGCAGGGAGCTGATGCTGACTGGCACCATCTGCTGAGCTCTGCAGCTGCTGGCCCAGCCCAGCACCCTGCTTTCTGCTTTTGCTGTCTGGTTTTCTTTTTTTTTTTTTTTTTTTCCCCAGGAAAGTGCCCTTTTCCAGAGGTTGTGTTTGGTGATTGTTGCCCACAGCAGGAAACTGATTCATGGCTCAGCTGGGAATTGGCCTGTCATGGTATTTTTCCAGTAAAAGAGCAGCCTGGAATATGGCAGAGGGTTTCCTCTGCCCTCAGGAGACCAGCACAAAACCCCAAACACTGATGTTTTGGTGTTTTTTTGTTTTGTTTTTCTTTTTTAATTCATAAGTAATTTCCTTGAAAGAAGGTGTACAAACCCCCCAAAAAGCAGCAAATTGCCATCCTTGCCCTCTTGTCCCTCTTGCTGATGGACTCAGAAAAACTCTTATGTCCATTTTGGGCTCTTCCCACCAAATAAGCTCCACAAGAGCTGAGCCAAGAGCAGCCCCATGGGTGAAGAAAACAGCTGTAGAAAATCCACAGAATTTGGTAAGTTTAAGCTTCCTAGAAGAGTCACTTCAAAGAAAAGGGCTGATGGAAGAAGAGCTCTGGATGTCCCTGGGAACAGAAAGAGAAAGGCAGCTGTTGGGAAATGTAGTATGACTTCAAATTTTATACTTCTTTTATTTTGCACTTGGCAAGGGTTTGTGCTTTCCCACTTTTGGGAGGCAAAGCAAAGACAATTTCTTCTTTAACCACAAATAAAACCAATGTGACTCCAGCACCAAAATCAGCTGTCAGTGCTTTGGTAATCAGAATACAAGAATGACATTGTGGATGCTGGCAATATTAAAAATCTGTGTGGGTTATCACTTACGTGGTGATCAGCTCTGTCAGTCATTTCCCTCTTCTGTAAAACAAAAAGAGAATTGCAGAGTTAGTGTGTAAAGCTGAAAGGATCATTGTGTTTTGCAGGTTTGTTTTCAAAAAGAAATATGTTTAAAACAAGATGAGAAAGCCCCAGAGGCCTGGGAAATGTAATCTGGGTGAATTTGGGCTCCTGCCTTGCTCTCCATCAATTTTCTGCCTGCTGCTGGCTCTCCCTCCCATCCACCCAAGCAACAGCAATGACCTTGATGCCTTCAGTTTTAGCTTCCATATTTTCCAGATTCTGCACTGCACTGGTATTTAACTCTGAACTCCATATAAAGTGTCAGCAAGTTCTCCTCACAGCTCAGTCACACACAGCAATCCTTTTCCAGCCCCAGAACCGAGGACACCGCTGCAGCTTCAGGCCCAGAAAGTGCAAACAACAAAAAGGCTCAAAAGGCCCAAAAAGTGCAAACAACAGGGAACTGAGGAGAGCAGACTGGGAGGATGGGACTGCACAACCTGGAGCTGAAACTGGGCAATTAACCCAACATGGAAATGGACCAAAAATTATAAAAGTGTGAAAACTCTGAGCCCACCTTGGGTGGAGCCACAGCCAGGCTCTTGCACTGCCCAAGGTGCATCCTTTGAAGGCCTTTTAATCAATCTGCTTAATTCCTTTATTCTGCTTTATTCTGCTTTATTCTGCCTCTGCTCCAGGCAGCCTCTCGAGGCCCTGCGGGGCTGAATCTCCGTGCAGGAGCCATCCCACCACACCCACCTTTATTCTCCACCTTGAAATCCGAGGGGAGGAGGTTGTCCTGCCGGTTGCCCAGCACGAAGGCCAGGAAGGAGAGGATGAGGGCGTCCAGGATGCCGATGATGCACAGGATGTAGGCCCAGCGCACGGTGCAGGCGCCCAGGGTGTATTTGTCCGTTTTGTCCCCGCACATTCTCCTCACCTCGCTCGAGTCCCAGCCGTCGGGGTAGATCAGGCAGCCGATCATCAGCCCCGTGGCTGCAGGGACAGGGGGACACTGAGCTCCTGAGCTGATGAGGATGCGTAAGATTTTTAGCTTTTTATGTTTTACGTAAGTTCCTAGCTTTGTGGATTGCTGTAGCTTCTAGTATTTTTCTAATCTTTTTTCTCTACCTTTAGGAATAGCAAGCGAACCTTGTAAGAACATTCCTAAATATTGTTTAGTCTTATTCCAAGAAGAGAACCAACTTCAAGAACATTGTTTTCCAACCAGAATCTGGACCAGATATAACAAAAGTGGGGCAAAAAACCCACCTCTGGAATGCTTTCAGAGGGTCAGGGCCCCAGGAATTATTACCTAGCCAACTAACCTTTTGACTGGACAGTGTGTGATAGGTGCACTAATCTCCTAACCTTATAAAAATGGTAGAATTACTATACCACATGTACTTTTCACCATGTTGTTCACCTGCAAGCTTTCAGCTAAAGGTTTGCTTTTATACTCACCCCAACTGGAATGATGCATTCTATTTTCCAGGCACCAACACTGAAGTGGAGAGAGCAGCTGGAGGAGCAAACATCATGCTGCAGACACATCAGGTGCCACAGGCTTGTCCCTTGAAGGCACTGTGGTGGCTCATCCCCGTGGGCTCTGCTGTGCTGCACAGGCAGGGAGGAGCAGGATCTGCCGTGCCAAGGATGTGCAGCACCAGCATCTCCTGTGGCAGCGTTGCCCAGGAATCTGTGCAGGAGCCATCCCACCACACCCACCTTTATTCTCCACCTTGAAATCCGAGGGGAGGAGGTTGTCCTGCCGGTTGCCCAGCACGAAGGCCAGGAAGGAGAGGATGAGGGCGTCCAGGATGCCGATGATGCACAGGATGTAGGCCCAGCGCACGGTGCAGGCGCCCAGGGTGTATTTGTCCGTTTTGTCCCCGCACATTCTCCTCACCTCGCTCGAGTCCCAGCCGTCGGGGTAGATCAGGCAGCCGATCATCAGCCCCGTGGCTGCAGGGACAGGGGGACACTGAGCTCCTGAGCTGATGAGGATGCATAAGATTTTTAGCTTTTTATGTTTTACGTAAGTTCCTAGCTTTGTGGATTGCTGTAGCTTCTAGTATTTTTCTAATCTTTTTTCTCTACCTTTAGGAAGAGCAAGCGAACTTTGTAAGAATGTTCCTAAATATTGTTTAGTCTTATTCCAAGAAGAGAACCAACTTCAAGAACATTGTTTTCCAACCAGAATCTGGACCAGACATAACAAAGTGGGGCAAAAAACCCACCTCTGGAATGCTTTCAGAGGGTCAGGGCCCCAGGAATTATTACCTAGCCAACTAACCTTTTGACTGGACAGTGTGTGGTAGGTGCACTAATCTCCTAACCTTATAAAAATGGTAGAATTACTATACCACATGTACTTTTCACCATGTTGTTCACCTGCAAGCTTTCAGCTAAAGGTTTGCTTTTATACTCACCCCAACTGGAATGATGCATTCTATTTTCCAGGCACCAACACTGAAGTGGAGGGAGCAGCTGGAGGAGCAAACATCATGCTGCAGACACATCAGGTGCCACAGGCTTGTCCCTTGAAGGCACTGTGGTGGCTCATCCCCGTGGGCTCTGCTGTGCTGCACAGGCAGGGAGGAGCAGGATCTGCCGTGCCAAGGATGTGCAGCACCAGCATCTCCTGTGGCAGCGTTGCCCAGGCAACGTCTCTGCTCCCTCTGCACAGAGCCCTGGCCCTGTCACTCCAAGGAAATATCTTCTCCAAACAAAGCTGGAATGGGTTTAGCCTGTGTGAGATGGAGACCCTGGCCCAGCGCCTTGCAGCTGATTCCAGCTCAGGGTTTACTAAGGTGGAGCTGCTGTCAGCAGCAGCTTTGTGGGCAGATTAATTCTGCTTGTTCAGCTGCGGTGGTTCCAGCAGCAGCTCCTCCTGTGACTGCTCTCAGAGCTCACACACAACCTTGGGAGCTGCTCCAGCCTGGTCATGGGGTGCCCTGCACCATCCCCAGTGCCAGCAGGTTGCTGAAGGGCAGCTTGTGCCCCAAAATCTCAGAAGTGCCTTTTTCCCCCGCTCAGAGAAATTGTATTTACTGGGCAAGAGCAATGACCAGGCTAGGGATGAATTAAGATGCAAGGTTTTTGGACATGATTGACAAAAGCCCTTCACATGCTGCAGATGTGAGGCAGTCCCTGACTCCTCTCACACAAGAAACAAACCTGTGGTGGACAAGCAGATGTCTGTCCCTGCCCCTCAAGGACATCTGCAGCCTCCTTAAATGCACCTTGTCACACACCTGTGCTCCTTTCTGCCACCAGGTGCTCAGTAAACCAGAACCCCCTTCTGGGGCAGTGGCCTTGTCCTTTGCCAATGTTTTCTTTTCTCTTGGCTTGGGGACAAGCCAGCAGCAAGGTGAGCAGACAGCTTCCTTGGTTTGCAGAGAGGATTTCTCTTCGTGGAAAAGCAGTTGGTTCTGCATACAGAATAAATCTATTTAATAAATAAATCTATTTAAATAAATAAATTTATTCTGCATACAGAATGAATCTTCCCTGTAACTAACAGAGAAATGGGGAAAGTGGGAAAGAAATAATTTCTGTGAAATTGTGCCCTGGTTCAGAGCAAAGGCCAGGAAATTGATCCTCCCTTAGCCTAACCACTTTGTAAAATAATTCCCAAAATGCAGCAGTACCTGTCCATCTGGCCAGAACTGCCTGTGACAATTTTCTCTCCCCCCATTCAGAACAACAACAACAAAAAATCACGTAAAAAACCCAACTACCACAGCAAAGCCTGTCTCTGCTCCTGCTCCCCAGGAGGCTGAGCTGCCCCAAGCTTCTTATCTAAATCTTAGCTTGAGCTCGATTCTTTAGCCTGAACTGAAGGAGCCCCTCCCGCGGGGTCAGCCCCGGCTCACATGAATCTTTCAGGAGCAGCAGAGCCCTGGCTTGGCTTCCAGCTGAGGACAGGAGTTGGGTTACCAGGTGTCTCAAGTGCCTTGGGGGAGAGGTGGGGAAGGCTCGAGAACCGCGGGGATGAGCAGCAAAGGGAGAAAATGAGAGTGATGGTACAAATCAGCCAGTCCCCTCCTCGTGTTCCATCTTCCCCACTGGGCATTATTCCCTGAGCTCAGGGAGTTACCACAATGGGCCAGCAAGAGTCACCGCTGTGTCCCTGCTCCGTCCCTGCAGGATCCCAAACACAGGAGAGCGCTCGGTGCCCTGGGGGGTTTTTGGTGCTCTGGAACGGATCCTCCGAAGCTGGGCAGGAGCAGTGGCTGGGAGAAGCTGCCCAGGGCAAGTGGGGGCACAAGGTTTGGGGGCACAAGGTCTGAGACCACAAGGTTTGGCAGCCACAAGGTTTGGGGCTACAAGGTTTGGGGGCACAAGATTTGGGGGCACAAGGTTTGGGACCACAAGGTTTGGGGGCCCAAGATTTGGGGGCACAAGGTTTAGGGCCACAAGCTTTGGCAGCCACAAGCTTTGGGGCCACAAGGTTTAGGGGCACAAGGTTTGGGACCACAAGGTTTGGCAGCCACAAGGTTTGAGGCCACAAGGTTTGGGACCACAAGGTTTGGGGGCACAAGGTTTGGGACCACAAGGTTTGGGACCACAAGGTTTGGCAGCCACAAGGTTTGGGGCTACAAGGTTTGGGGGCACGAGATTTGGGGGCACAAGGTTTGGCAGCCACAAGGTTTAGGGGCACAAGGTTTGGCAGCATCACCCGACATGCAGCGAGTCTGCTGTGCCTCAGCTGCTCTGGAAGGAGTTTTTCACTAAAAACTCCCCACTGGTAAGCAGCAAGGGGGAGCAAATGGCACGGAGGCGACACTGGGGTCTCTCAACTGGCCAAACCCCCATCCCCAGCAGAGTCGAGGGCACAAAGGGACAAGGCTCGGCCGTGGCAGCCCCCCGGCCCCCCAGCCCCGCTCACCCGCTGCCAGCTGCATCCAGGCACAGACTTTGTAGACGGTGGCTGCGTTGCAGAAGAAGAAGAGGCTGAAGCAGAGGATGGTGCCGATGATGAGGAAGGTGGAGATGCCTACGAAGAACATGGCAGTTTTGAAGGCACTGGAGGGGATGGTGCCGAAGTCCAGGGGGCTGCCCTTGCAGATGAGCTCCCCGGTGAGCGCGTTGCCGATGCAGTAGGAGAAGAGGCCGAAGTAGCCGGCCTGCGGCGTGTCGATGCTGTCGCCGATCCAGTAGGGCTGGATGAAGGTCACCACCATCAGGATGGAGAAGCAGAGCGTGAAGAGGGCCCAGAGCACCCCCATGGCCCGAGCATTCCGCACGTAGTTGGTGTGGTAGATCCGAGCCGCCTCCTGCGCCGGCAGCAGCTTGGACATGGCTGGGGAGCGACCCCGGCCCCGGGGCTCCGGTCCCGGGGCTCCGACCCCGGCCCCGGTCCCGCTCCGCTCCCCTCCGGCCCCGGCCCCGCTCCGGTGCCGCTCCGGTGCCGCTCCGGCCCCGCCCGGCGGCAGCGGGGTCCTCCCACCCCCGCCGAGCCGGGGGGGACTCGGGAGGAGCCGGAGCGACCCCGCCGCCGCAGCCGGAGGGAGCGGGCGGTGCCGATCGGGATGCGCTCCCGGGATGCTCCGTGCCCGGCGTGCCCGGGATGCTCTCTCGGGATGCGCCCTTCGCCTCCTTCGTGTGCCCTAAAATGCGCCCTGGGGTAACCCAAATATCCCCAGTGTGCGCCCCATGGTCTGTCCTGGGGTGCGCCCTGTGCCCCGGAGTGTCCCTGTGCCCCGCAGTGCCCTCAGGGGTGCACTCGGTCCCCCTATCCCCTGCAGTGCCCTCAGGGGTGCACTCTGTCCCCCCTTGTCCCCTTCAGTGCCCTCAGGGGTGCACTCTGTGCCCGCAGTGCCCTCAGGGGTGCACTCTGTCCCCCTGTGCCCGCAGTGCCCTCAGGGGTGCACTCGGTCCCCCTATCCCCTGCAGTGCCCTCAGGGGTGCACTCGGTCCCCCTATCCCCTGCAGTGCCCTCAGGGGTGCACTCGGTCCCCCTATCCCCTGCAGTGCCCTCAGGGGTGCACTCGGTCCCCCTATCCCCTGCAGTGCCCTCAGGGGTGCACTCGGTCCCCCTATCCCCTGCAGTGCCCTCAGGGGTGCACTCGGTCCCCCTATCCCCTGCAGTGCCCTCAGGGGTGCACTCGGTCCCCCTATCCCCTGCAGTGCCCTCAGGGGTGCACTCGGTCCCCCTATCCCCTGCAGTGCCCTCAGGGGTGCACTCGGTCCCCCTATCCCCTGCAGTGCCCTCAGGGGTGCACTCGGTCCCCCTATCCCCTGCAGTGCCCTCAGGGGTGCACTCTGTCCCCCCTTGTCCCCTTCAGTGCCCTCAGGGGTGCACTCCGTCCCCCTGTGCCCTGCAGTGCCCTCAGGGGTGCACTCTGTCCCCCCCTGTCCCCCCCGTCCCCCCAGTAACGCCCTGGGCTGTGCCCTGCACACCCTGGATGTGCCTGGGCTGCACCCCACGCCCCTGGGTGTGTCCCAGGACATGCCACATACCCCGGGATGCGTGTTGGGATGAGACCCAGGATGTGTCTTGACCCCCACAAGGTGCCAGGGGCTGTGCCATGACCCCCAGGATCTCACCGGGCTCTGCTGCGTGCCCTGTGGTGTGTCCCAGATTCCGTGTCCCCTTGGCTGCTCCCCTCTGGTCACCAGGGTCCTCCTGCACTGCTGGGGAGCACCAGGGCTGCTGCATCACTGGGGCATCCCCACGGCTCCACTGCAGAGAGGGACACGGCTCATCCTGCCAGCAGGACACCCTGGGGTGCCAGCCAGCAGCTGGGCAGGGCCAGGACTCTGCCAGGGCCTCTGTCCTGCTGCCAGGGGAGAATGGGCACCCCCAGAGGGCTGCAGGCACTTGTAGCCACCTTGGAACCTCTCTCTCCAGGAGCCACATCTGCCCTGCAACCTGAGTGAGCACGCAGGTTCAGCTCCTGTCGTGGGGACAGGTGCCACGTGAGGGTGTGACAGTCACCCTGCGGCCAGTGCCAGCCCCAGCATCCCTCCTGTGGCTGTCAAAGGCCAGGGTTTTGTGGCCATTAATCATGTCCAAGAACAGCTAAGCCACTGTGGGCACGAAAATCTGTGTTGTTCCCAGGGTTGTTTTCCTTTTATCAGCCCCACTCCCCCCCAAGCACAACAGAGCAAATATTTGGCAGGGCAGGCTGAAGTGCTGACCCTGGGCTGGGGACCTTGGTGGGCTCTGGATCCTTGCAGGGGGCTGTGCTTTCCTGCACAATAGGAAATTTCTCCAGCAGTTTTCTTGGTGCCCATGGTTCCATTTGAGAGATGGAGGATCTGGTGGCTTTCCCATGGAGCAGAGCTCCTGCCATGGCAGCCAGCCCTCACTTTGCCCAGGAGCCACCAGCAGCACCCAGCAAGGAGGGCATTCCAGAGAGCTCCAGCCCCACTGCTGCCAGCAGGAAGCAGAGGAGGAAGAAGAAGCACAGAAATGCCATTATCTTGTGTTCCCTCTGTCCAAAGGAGCTACTAAAGGGCAGGTTGACACGGACAGTCCTGGGAACAGGACCTGGGAGCCCTGGCTGCCCAGGCATCGCTGGGCCCTTGCCCTGGGCACTGCAACCCCAATGCCACGAGCTGAGGTGTGATAGGAGCAGCCACATCAGCTGATGGAGATTGTGGCTATAAAACACCTGCTGGCCCCGTGGCAGAGCCACATCGAGCCCACCATGGCCAAGGTGCTGCCTGCCTGCCTGCTCGTGGCCCTGCTGCTCCTGGCCCCAGCCCTGCCAGCGCAGCAGGAGCGAGGGCTCGTCTTGAACCTGGTAAGGGGACAGCAGCCCTGGGCTTGGCACAGGAGGGTCCCACTGCTGCCAGGGAGGCTTGGAGGGCTCTGAGGGGTTTTCTGGTGTTGCGAGGCAGCTTGGAGCCTGGGAAATCAGCTCTATAAAGGGATAGGGAACTAAGAAGATGGATCAGACAAGCTCTCAGCTGCTTGAGCCAGCCAGGACCCCCACCCTGGGTGGTTCACAGGGCCTGGGGAGGGGAAATGCTTTCCCTGTGGTGTCTCAGCCCTCCTGTGAGTCCAGCAAAAAACCACTTTGAGCTGGGTGGTGTTTTGGGCCAGAGTGAGGAGATGCTGCAGAGCGGGAGGCAGGGGCACGGGGGCAGCGGTGCTGAACCTCAGCCAGAGGGCAGCGCTGGTGTTCAACACCCCCCAAACCCCCTGGGCTCACAGCTAGGGTGAGATTAAAGGGGAACAAAGAGGCAGCCGGTGCTCAGGCCCTGCCTTGTGCTGCAGGACGTCGGGGAGCTGTGCCTGCAGAGTGCCCAGTGCAAGAGCGGCTGCTGCCACCGCGTCAATGGCCTCAGCCTGGCCCGCTGCGCTCCCCGGGCAGCTGAGACCCAGGAGTGCTCTCCCAAGGTAGGTGCTGCCCTGCTGCCAGGGCTGGGCAGGCACGGGGCACGTCCCCCACGCTGCACTGAGTCCTTGTTCCCTGCAGAGCATCTATGGGGTGTACTACAAGTGTCCCTGCGAGAGCGGCTTGACCTGTGACGCCGATAAAACCATCGTGGGCTCCATCACCAACAAGGACTTCGGGGTCTGCAAGGACCCCCACGAGGCCAGGAGGCGGTGAAGAAAGAGCCCTGCTGTGCCACTCTATGCTGCCCCTGCCTTTCCCCCTCTCCAGGGATTCCTGGCTCTAGCTGTGGGAGAATTTGAATAAAGCCCAGCTTCTGCAGAGCTGCAAGGTGGTGTTTTCACTCAAGGCAGGTCCCTGGCCCAGGACAGGGACAGCAGGGTCAGATGTCCCTGAAGAAGCCACCTAGACACGATGCTTCACCTGTGTGTGTGTGCAGTCATACAGCAAGCTGGGCTAGGCCAGCAGCAAGGCGTGGGCTGAGCTCTGCTCCAGGGGAGTTTGAAAAAGGAGGTGCAGGGAAGGGGAAGATGCAGCAGCCCCAGGATCTGAGGGAGCTGTTGGGCTGTGCTTGCCTCGGTTTGTTTCCTGCTGTGGCACACAGCAGGGCGAGGAAGAGGAGGCACCTGTCTGGCAGAGCTGTGGAAGCAGCAGCAGATGAGGGGATCATCAGGGAGGGAGCTCGTGGCTGGGGATGGCAAGAACCAGGCACCCACAGCTCCACTCCCCACTGCCCCGAGGGCTCTGCACCAGATGGGGAGGCCACAAAGGCTGGGGGCACCCCCTGGCAGCTGGGGAGGGGCTGCAGGAAACTTTATTTTCAGGACAAGTGGGACTGGCAGCTTGAGGATCTGCAGAAACACCAGGGACTCATCTGGGAGGGTGGCACAGCCTGGGGGAAGGGGAACATGGGGGGCAACATGGGGACCTGCTGGCCCCTGCCAGTCTGGCTCAGAGGGGCTGCAAGAGGAGAAAATTCTGAGCTGGATTTTAAACTTGTGGCGGGTGGTTAAAATCTGGAGGGTCTTGTTCTCATTGTCGTGGTGGTCCTGGCAGGAGGCCACCAGATCAATGTCCTCACTGGTGCAGGATGAGGTGGGGGTAAGGGGTGGCTGGGGACAGGGATGGGGACAGCAGCCCCTGTCCTGCAGCAGCCCCAGGCACAGCGAGGCGAGGGCACACAGGACACGGGGTCTGTGCCTGGACCCCCCATCTGTGCGGGGTCCCCAGCCCCACACGCTGCCCCACAGCACCCCGGAGAGGCTGGCATTTCCTGGGACACGCACCGGGGACCCGGGGAGCCCCTGCCTGCCCAGGGCCGGCCCCGGCTGCAGCTTTGTGCTCTTGGCAGGGGCAGGATGCGAGCAGCGCCCAGCCCCGGCAGAGGGCAGCGACCCCGGCCCGGCAGCGACCCCGGCCCGCCAGGGACCCCCAGCCCAGGGCAGCGCAGCCTGGGGGTCCCTGAAATGCCCCCAGCCCTGCCACCCCTCGAGTCCTGAAATAGGGGTCCCCAAAATGCCCCCAGCCCTGTCACCCCTCGAGTCCTGCAGTGGGGGTCCCCGAAATGCCCCCCAGCTCTGCCACCCCTCGAGTCCTGCAGTGCGGGTCCCCAAAATGCCCCCAGCCCTGCCACCCCTCGAGTCCTGCAGTGGGGGTCCCTGAAATGCCCCCAGCCCTGCCACCCCTCGAGTCCTGCAGTGGGGGTCTCCAAAATGCCCCCAGCCCTGTCACCCCTCGAGTCCTGCAGTGGGGGTCCCCTGGAAGGAGGAGCAGGGATGTTTGGGGCAGGCAGGGCTAAACTCTGGGGTGCTCGATGGGGGTTTTGTGGTGTCCCCGTTTTTGTGGTGTCCCTACGCTAGCAGAAGGACAAAGGGGGCACCAGAGAGGTGGGAAAAGGGGGGGCTGTGCTGAGGTGGGGGTCGCATAAACCCCCCCTCGCCCCGCCCCATCTCAGCCCTATATTTACTGGTGAAGCCGCAGCTTTGTTTTGGCAGCTCTCGGCTGGTAAATATTGGCTTAAACAGAAAACCAGACGCCTGACTCACGGCGTCTTAACAAACACAGGAAGGGGCCCCTGGCGCGTGTGGGGCGCTGGCAGCCCTGGGGACAAGGGGACCCCCGGCAGGGTGGGGACAAGGGGGACTCCCGGCCGGGTGGGGACAGGGGCACCCCGGCAGGGTGGGGACAGGGGCACCCCGGCAGGGTGGGGACAAGGGGACCCCCGGCAGGGTGGGAACAAGGGGACCCCCGGAAGGGTGAGGACACCTCAGGGCAGAGTGGGGCACCCTTGAGCAGGGCTTTGCTGCAGCGAGGGTCCCCTGTGGGAAGACCTGGGGGACAGGGGAAGGAGGGGTACAATCATTGGGGTGCCCCTTCCTCCTCCCCTGCCCTAAAGCAGTGGGGAATGTGAGACAGAAGGGACCCAGAGCAGCCCAAGACCCTCCCCAGGCTCACCCCATCAGCAGGATTGCCCCCCCCAATGTGCAAACCCATCCCCTCCGGTCACCCAAGGGGTGCCCCACTTCCCAGGGAGGTGTGTGGCACTTCCCCCCGCCCCAGAGCCCCCCCGGCCGCTGTTACCCGAGGGTACAGGATGTTCTCACCCAGCCCAGCTCCCCAACCTCTCCCCGCCTCTCCCCCCTTTCCGCCAGCCCTCGGCCTTCACCTCTCCTCCTCTGCACTGCTTTAACCCTTTTTATTGCCCCCAAACATCGCCTTTTCCTCTTCTTCTCTTCCTCCTTCTTGATTTGTTTTTAATTTCTGTTCAGACGCACTGAAGCTCCCTCCCTGCTCGTTCCGGGGTGTCCCTGCACCCCCAACCCGCTGCAGCTCCAGTGGGGTGCCCACCCAATGCCCAGCTTTGCAGACACCCCTAGAAAAGTCACCCCACTCCCAGCCTTGCAAAACACTCCAAGGAAAACCTGTGTGTGTGTGTGTGGATGTTTGCTCCTGCAGCCCTCACCCTGGGGCAGAGGGGCTGCCAACCCCAGCCCCTCTGCGAGGGGTGAAATGTGTTTTTTGGGGGGGCTGAGCTGCCCCCCACGGTGGAGGGGACAGGCAGCAGCCCTGCAGCTCCAGCTTAGGGCAGTGATTTCAGCAGGGGAAGACCCCGGGCACAACCTGATTAACTCCATGTCCCCTCACACAGCACAGCCCAGCCTGCTGCAGCCTGGGGTGATGCCCCTGATCCTGCAGCAGGCTCAGGGGCACTCCTGCGCTTTGGGTTGGGGGGCACAGGGGGGGCTTTGGGGCAGTTCAGGGCTGCTTGTGCCATCTGAGGGGCTGCCCAGAGCCATGTGGAGTGCACAGACGTGTTTGGGGGTGCACAGAGGCACCTGGGGCTCCCTGATCCTGCAGCTGGCTCTGGGGTTTGTTCCCCCCATAAGCCTTTATCCCTTCAGGACACGGCTGGGGGTGGCTGGGGCAGCTCGGGGGGGCAGGAGCCCCTCTCAGGGTGTCCCTTGGCCACGGCAGGACCCAGAGGGATGAAACACATCCTTGCAGGGTGTGGGACAGCCCAGCCAGCACCAGGGATTTGGGGAACCCCTAATCCTCGGGGAGATGCCCCAGTGTGCCCCCACCACCCTCTGCTGGCCTGGGACACCTTGAGCTGTGCCTGCAGCAGCAAAACTCCCGTGGCAGCTCCAGGTCATGGGGCATAATGGGTGCAGACCCCAACTGCAGACCCCAGGGGCGCGGGGCCTGATCCTGTGGCTTGGGGTTTTCCTAAATCTGGGCCAGGTTTTCGCTGTCCCAGGGAGATGGCTTTGGGATAATGCTGGCAAGAAGCCATCCTTCAAGCTCCCTCTGGAAGAAAAGCAACCTTTCTAGCAAAAAGAAAAAAAAAAAATTCATGGAAAGCTCTGGTTTGCCTCTTCTTGCCAAAACCAATTGTTGATGATTTTTTACGGCTGCTTTGGCTTTGCCTTTGCCTGTGACAGAGGGAACAATGTCAGACATGCTCCTGTTTTCCCGCTCTGATATTTTTCCCCCTGAAGCTGGAAGAGGGGAAGGATTAGACTGAAGGACAGGGACCCATCCTAGGTAAATATCAGCCCCAGGGGCTCCCAAACCTGGCATGAGGATTTCAGTCTTTCCTCCATCCTTGGGGCTGCAAGTGGGGTCTCTCAAAGATGCCCCCCCAGAGCTGCTGAGGGCTGAGGACTGCCCAGCTCAGGGCAGTGGTGGAGGTTACAAGTGGGACACGGGGACACAGAAGTGGCCCTGGGAGGACATCCAGGCACCCACACACCTCCACAACCCCTGCAATGCTGCCCACCAGGGCACAAATGGAAAAAAATCCTCACCTTGAATAATTCGTGCTGCTGGAAGCAGTGCACTGCAGGGAGGTGGGGAGGGCAAGGAGGGGATGCTGGGCTGCACCAGTCCGGGCAGAGCTCGAGGCTGGTGCTCTGCAACAGCCAGCCTGGGGGGAGGGCTCCCTGCAGCTGGGTTCCCCCTCAGGGGGTGTTTTTAGCCTAAAATTCCTTGAAATGCTGGCGAGCTGGGCTGGGGGAGCAGACTGAGGGTGAGGATTCTGGGGGATACCTCCATGACATTGATGGGGATTCACTCTTGGGGGGCGCTGAAAGGGTGTTGGGGGTGATGCTGGGAGGATGAGGGGGGGATATCCAGGATGGTCAGGATGGCCACAGCGGACCCCAGGAGCCGGAGCCCCGAGCGAGCCCAGCCGCCCGGCGGGTGCCGGTGTCCCTGGCCGGGTGCCCCCCCGCCGGCCCGGCGCTGAGTCAGCCTGTTCCCGGCGCTCCCGGTACATCGCGTCCCCACGCCGGGCGCTGGCACCGCGCCCGCCCGGTGCAGCTCCCGGCAGGGGCACGGCCCCGGCGGCTCCTCCGGGCCCCCGGCGAGAGGGCGGAGAGCGGGTCCGAAGCGCCGGGAGCTGCCGGAGGGGCTTCGGGGGGCTCAGCCGCAGTCACGCTCTGTGCCCGCCTGTGTCCCCAACCCGCCAGCATTGGGGCACCTGCGGGCGATCTCCAGTTCTTGGGTCTCACATCCGTCTGGCAGGGAAGCATCTCCATGGCAGGGCACAGCCTCGGGGGATTGATCCCCACGTCCCCCCTGCGCCCACCCCCGGGCAGAGGCGCCGGCTCGCCCCCCGCCAAGCCCGGCCACCCCCGGCCACCCCCGGCCAGCCCCGGCCATCCGCCCTCCCCCGAGGCTGGTACAGTTCGTTACGTCCAGACCGGAATGTACTTTGTGTTAGAAGTGGCCACAAGCCAGGAAGGCAAAGCCGGACTTTATTTATCCTCCCTGCTCCGGCCCCGCCGCTGCATCCTGCCCTTGCTCGTGTGGGGCTGGATCTCCGGCAGGGCTGAGGGAGCCCTGGGCTCTGTCCGCCTCTCTGCTGCTCGTTGCCAGCCGGGGAAGGCAGCGATTTTCCCCTTTTCCTCGGAAGGGAAATAATCTGGGAAAATATTTGTGTCTTTTCATCTGTCCCCGGTGTCTGGAAGGAAGCCGTGAGGGAGGATGGGAGCCGTGAGGAGCTCAGGGATGGATCGAGGATCAGGGAGGCTTCTGAGGGAGGTGTCCCTTGGGGGGCTGGCCTGGGGGGCTTTTTGCAACAAGAGCCAGGATTTGGGCCGCAATCTGGCAATGTATGGGTTGGAAATGCACCTGGAAAGCTCCGGCTCTGGCCACACTGCAGGGTAGGGCAGGGTCAGGCCTGTGACAGAGCAGGGACTTCTCTGGGGGTCCCCATGGGTCGGGGGGATGCGTTGGCCCCTCGGCTGTTAGCAAGCCGTGGTGGGAGCCGTGAGCCCGGGCAGAGAGGGGGAGGCCTCGGGAGGGATCACAGGGATCGTCCCAGGCCGGGTCTGGCCCATCATTGCCACCCAGCATCCTCCCCGCGCCCTTCCCGCAGGGACACTGAGGGGAATTTCACACAGAAATGTCCCTGTCCCTGTCCCATCCCGGCCTTCCCTGCTGCTCTGCACCCTCGGGCTCCACAGCCCTCATGCCAAGCCAGGGGTCGTGCCCTGCTGCCCCCTGTCCCCCTTGTCCCCGTGTCCGTCTGTCCTGCCGGGAGCCCGGCTGCACCCACAGCCGGTGGCAAGGACACGCTGTTCTCCTGCGCTCGGTTGTGCAACCCTGGCTGCACCTCCCGTAAACAACAGCTCCCCACCGGCCCCTGCCCCGCTGCCCCCCGGTGCCAGCGGGGCCCCCCGAGGGGCGCACACACCGCGGGCACGGCGGGGGGAAGCCACGGCGCCGTCAGGATGCACAAAAAGCTGCTTTGATCCCCAAAATGGGCAGTGGTGATCTGGGTTCTGGGGGGAAGGATGGGTTTGATCCCCTGGGAAGAGGAGGATCCCTGCACCCGGACCATCGGGGGCAGAGTTTATTATTTATTATTTTTACAATCTATTATCTATTATCTATTACCATATATTATCTATTATCATCTATTATCTACTAATATCTACTATTACCTATTATCTATTATCGATTATCTATTATCTATTATAATCTATTATCTACTAATATCTACTATTTATTATTTATTATTATTTATCATTTATCATTAATCATCTATCACTTATCACTTATTTACCATTTATTATGTAATATTTATTCTGTATTGTTTCTTGTTTCTTGTTTATTATTAGTTTATTAGTTTGTTATTTATTATCAGTTATTATTTATTTCGGGTTTATTTGTGCTGGCACACACGAAAGGAAACCGAGAGAAAAGAGAAAACCCACATCCTCCCCTCTCAAGAGCTTCACTGCTGTGGCTCCTCACAGTGCAGCCAAGGTGGAGGGACTCCTCTCCTCCCCACGCTCTCCAGGCAGATTAACACTGGCTATTTTTAGCAGAAGACAAGGATGAATAAAAATACCCCCTGCTTTATTTTAATTCTTTTTTCCCTCTCTCTCTTTCTGCCCTCACCTCACACGAGGTGCAGGGGGGCCAGCAGCGCAGGTTCCTTGGCTTTGCTCCCTGCTTCCAGACTCTCCCCAAGGCTCCCTGTCCTTTCAGAGCCGGGCTCAGCGCTGGGGCAGGACATGTGTGGCCAGCTGGAGGGCGAGGGGGAACAAGCAGTACCCCTGGCAGGCGTCACAGATCCAGGCAGGATTATTTATGGAACAGATTTCCTCCAGGTTGTGTTACAGGGCTGGGGGTGAGCAGGGCAGACCCCAGCACCGGCTGAGTGGAGGGTTGAGGACATCTCCCCCCCCAAAAAAGCAGAGTGAGCTGAGGGGTGAATTGGAAGCTGCATTTTATTTTTTAAAAAAGCAGCTCTGATCTTTATTCCCATATATTTTTAGGGGCTGTTTTCTACACAAACAAACAAATTTACCATTTTTGTAGTACAAGGACAAAGCAGGCTGAACCCCCTCACTGCTGCCATTGGTCCCCATGGGGTTTTTCAGGGTTTTGGTGTTATCTCAGGGGCCTGATGGTATTATGCTGTGGGTTTTCCTGGTATTGCAAAGCCACAATATTTTAATTTTGTTTTGTAAATGAATATTTAAAGCTCTTGGAAATTTCAAGCCGGGAGGGAAATGTTTGAAACCAGATGCAAGATTCATCAGGGTTATTTTAGAGGGGGAAAAATGAAGTGCCATGAAAACAATTTTTTAAAATTTATTTTCTAAAGCAAGCTTTAATTTTCACTCTGTATTTCTGATGAGTGACACCAGTGTCTAAATTACAGCTGGGGAAATCAAACTCAGCAAATAGAGCAGACCTGTGAGAAAGCATTTACCAGCACAGTGCTGCCTTCAGCCTGGCCCTGGGGGTTTTATTGGATCGACCTGTGGGAATGAGGGTGCAGGCTGGGAGCTGCAGGCACTCATTGCACCACACAAACCTGGTAAAAAATTACCACTTTATAAAAACACTCCGAGATGTCCCAATTTAAATCTGCCCCCAAATTTTCTCGCCCCTGTTGGCTCTTCAGCAATGAGCAGGGATGAGGTGTTTAATCACAAAAGCACCGATTTCTAATCTCAGCGGGGGTATCCTCGAGGCAGCTCTTGACAAAAATCTTATTTCCTTCATCCCGAACTGGAACATTTCTGTGTGTTCCAGCAGCCGCTGTGGCCGCCAAGCCCACACCTCTGTCCCAGCCGTGAGGCAGTCCTGCACTCTGGTGTTCCCTGTGGCTCCCGGGGGAGCTGGGGGGATTGGGACACCCCTGGGGACATGGGGGGAACGAAGGGACCTCCGGGGCACCTCGGGGGCACCTCCGCGGCTGGGCTGTCCCTGTCCCCCTGTTCCTGTCCCTGTCCCTGACCCATCCCTGTCCCTGTCTCCATCCCCTGTCCCTGTCCCATCCCTGTCCTTATCCCTGTCCCTGTTCCATCTCTGTCCCTGTCCCTGTCCTTATCCCTGTCCCTGTCCTTATCCCTGTCCCTGTCCCCGTCCCTGTCCCATCCCTGTCCCTGTCCCTATCCCATCCCCGGCCCCGCCGCTGCCCCCCGGGCGAGAGCGCGGGCACAGCGCTCTGATTTGCATATCGCCTCCCCCACAACCAATAGCAATACAGACACTGGAGACGGGCAGGCGGCGCAGCCAATGAGGCGTGAGCAGGGCGGGGCCGGGGCGCGGGGCGGGGCGGCCGGGCCGGGCGGGCGCGCGGGGCCACTCGGAGCCGGGCGGCGGCGACAGCGGCGACAGCGGCGACAGCCACGGCCACAGGTGGGACCCGCGGGCCGGAGAGCCCCGTGAGCCGCTCTGGGGCACACCCCGTGCGGGGCTGCGGGACTGCTGGGGGTCAGGGGTGCGTGAGCGTGGGGTGGGGCTGGGGACAGGCGGGGGACACCGGCGACCCGAGTGGGGAAGGGGATGGCTGAGGATGGGAGCGGGGTTCGTGCCCCATGGAGCCGCCGGTGGTGCCGGGAGGAGTTCCCGCAGCGGTGCTCGGGGATGCTCCGGTACATCCCGGTGCTGCTCCGGTACATTCCCGGGTTGCTCCGGCACATCCCGGTGCTGCTTCAGTACATCTCGGGTTGCTCCGGCACATCCCGGTGCTGCTCCGATTCATCCCAGTGCTGCTCCGGCACATCCCGGTGCTGCTCCGGTACATCCCGGGCTGCTCCGGTCCATCCCGGTGTCGCTCCGGTACATCCCAGTGCTTCTCCGGCACATCCCGGGCTGCTCCGGTCCATCCCGGTGTCGCTCCGGTACATCCCAGTGCTGCCCCGGTACATCCCGGTGCCGCTGCCCGGGCGGATTTCTCCTTTCCCCGCTCCCCGCCCCATCCGAGGCTCCCGGGAGCAACCGGAGCGTTTCTTGTGACAGCACCGAGCAGAGACCCCGCGGGGTGCTGCATCCCCGCGCAGCCTTGCCTGCAGGTAAATGCGATTTTTAAAAAAAGTTTCTGCGATTTCTCCCTCCTCTCCGGGCATCAAAACTCTTCCAGAGCTCCTGTTTTTAAAAGGCACCTTGGAGCGAGCTTGCTCTTCCAAAAAAAACTGAATTTTACACAGTGGGAACTCTTAGGAGAGGTGTCTGTCACCGCTGTGTCCCCAGGCTGCAGCTCCAGAGCTGCACCGAATTTCTGTCCCCACCGGTGCAAAAATCACCCTTAAAAATAAAATATAATAAAAAGCCAGGAGCTGATACTTTATGTTTTTAAAGATAGAGTTTAAATAGTGTCTCACCCTAAGGAGCTGATAAACTTGAGGTGGGTTTGAGGGCATCACTGGGATATCAAAGCCAAGCTGGGAACTGGCATTAAAAGTTTAAAAGAAGTTGAAAGCACAAATTGCTGCCTCCCTCCTGCCTCCTCCCCTGTCTTGTTGAAGGGCTGGGGAGAAGAAAATCATTAAATACGTCTGGCAGAGCCTGTATCTGGCTTTTTTTGTTCATTTTTTCTTAAATAGATGCAAATAACCTGATCTTCCCAAGGCTGTCTTTGCCCAGCACACACTTCTGTCATGTTGAGGTCCTTTCCCAGCACCTTCCTGCTGGGATGAGCCAAAAAATAAGGACAATTCCTGAGTAAAAAGCAAACTGCATCCCTCAGGAACGTCACTGCTGTGTAGTTACGTGTGTTTTAATTAATTACCTGCTTGCAGAAGGAGAAAGTTTGCTGGAAGGTTTGAGATGCTTGGCACCAAGACCTCCTCGGGCTGGCTGCAGCTCCCAGACTAGCTCAGGGGAAAAATATTTTGCAAATGGCTTGAAAAATAGTTTGTCCTCAGTTATTTCTCTTTTTATATTCTTTTATATCAATTTTATTTTATAGTCGCTCTCGGTGACGTGAATTTCTATAAAGTTGTTGCAGCCCCTTGAGGGAGCTGTGAAGCTCCTCCTGATCTTGTGCACACAACAGGGAAATGGATATTACTTAGCAAGGGGTTTTTTTATTATTTTAGTGCTCTGTGTGCTTGTGGGTGTAAAGAAGTGGCCACGAGTGCTCTAACGTACAAGTTGTTCATGTAACTTGTTTGTCATGGAGCTGACAGGCTTTTTCCATAACTAGTGATTGTGATTAGTAAGGATTTCTGATTTTGCAAGCGAGTGCGTTGGAAAATTAGGAAAATAATATGAAAGTAACTGTCAGAGGGGAAGAGTCAGGGCTGTGAGGGACTGCAGTTAAATCATCCTCTACCTGCAGTGTCCCATCTTTGTAAAGTATTGCTCTTAGATGGAAAAACATTCTCATTTCAAGTACTTTTGGGTTTACATTAAATTTAACCACTGGATAAAACCAGCCTGGCAAAGAGCATCATTCCTGGGATGTGCCCCCATCCCAAAAAGGCAGCCCAGGTGGGATGCAGCCTCCCTGCCCAGCCCAGGTGTGTGTGTCACAGGGCTGTGTGTCACCCCTGTGCTGCCAGGGGCTGGTCACCTGCTGGGGCTGCAGCATTGTCCCCAAACCCGTGCTGTCCTCGTCCCCTCCTGCCCCTCGCAGCGTCCCCAGCCACGGCAGTGCCACCCCAGTCCCCTCCTGCAGTTTGTCCCCTTGTGATGCTCCTCCAAGAAATCCTCCCTTGGCACCAGAGCGGGCTGGTGTTTCACTGGGAGTTGCTGTTTGCCCAAAATAATTTGGCATTTTTAGGCCCCTGGTGCAGATGGTCTTGGGTGCTGAGTTATTTCTGGGTGCTGAGCTGGGGATTCCCCCCTGGAGATGCTGCAGGTGCTGCTGAGCCCTCATTTTTGGGGATAAATCATCAAACCCAGCATTCCCCCTGCCAGGGGTCACCTGCCTGCAAGCTGCTTGGAGAAAACCCCAAATCCGTGGTGAGCAGTGAGATGCTTTTAGAAACAAACAAACAAACAAAAATTTAAATAAATTTTTGTTTAATTGCCACATTATTTTTTTTTCCGGAGAAAAGGCTAAATTAAAACAGAATTGGCAAACAAGGAGTTTCTTGTTTATTCCCATTTTGTATTTATTTTAGTCCCCCCCCAGCTGTCACTTGAAATTCAGTTTGCTCAGCACTGGTGTGGCTGCTGCCAGGAGGCTGCTCTGAGTCTCCTGTGGAGGGCTTGGACTTCACTTGCTGCTGTTTGGGGAGGGAAACTTCACATTTAACAGCCAGAGGTGGAATATTTAATTCCAAAAAGCCCGGCTGATCTGCTGTCCCTGCTTGTTTTGACCAGGGGAGAAGATACAACTGAAAGGACCTCGCCCATTTTTGGTGGCAGAAAACCCAGTGAGAGGGTGCCAAGGAGTGGGTAGTGGGATGTCAAGTACTTTCTCACATTTTACAGATGGTTTATATAACCTGCTTGGCTATATTATTATTATTTTTTTCCCTGTCCAGTTACATAATCTCAATTTATGAAGGCTTTAAGAGGTTGCATTCCCCACTATTTCACGTCTTATATGTCATTCTTGTGTCATTCAATATATGTCATTCATATATAACAGCCTCTGAGCTTGTTAGGGTGCTTGGTCTCCCTGCCAGGCATCTCCCAGGAAGCTCAGGCTGGTGTGGAACAGCTCTTTATACCCTCATTATTAGCACATTTCCTTGATTATTTTGTTTTAGCCATCATCAAAAGCCGTGTCAGCCCCTCAGGAGCAGGATGGGTGCTGCCTCTCCCTGCTGATGCAGAGCAAAAACTTTGTGCATTCCTGGTTTTTTTGGTTTTTTTTCCCAGTGTTTTCAATTTCTGTTCTTGTGGCTGAGGCTTGCTGTGATTTTTGTGCTGGAAGCAGCTGAAATCCTTGCTGAGGCCAGGGGTGGTTTTGGGGGCAGGTGGGAAAGGAGCTGCAGAGCATCTCCGTGTAGAACCCTCAGCCTCCTCCTGCCCCTGGCACCTTCTCCCCTGGGGACCCATAAATGCCAAATAAAAGGGGATTTTGTTTTCCCTGGTGTAAGTTTATCCTTCAAAATAAGGGAGGAGAAAAGAAAATGCTGGTTTTTTCCTTTGACACAAAAGTGGAGGTGTTGTGTCTGTGGGTACCCACTCTGGAGGAGATGGACCACAGGCTGCTCACAAGAGAGCTCAGAGCACCTTTATCCCTCTGATTTTATTTTTTTTATTTTATTTTGAAGTGACCTGGGAAAAGCACCAAGAGAGCATTTCCTTGCTAGAAAACCAGCAGAAGAGCCAGATTATTTTGTGAACTGGGGGGATAAAACCACTCCTCTCTGAAAGTCTTTTGTGTGTTGCTGGCACGGGCCTGCTCACCTCACCCCAGGGGATGCACAGACACTGAACCCATCTTGCTTTTGCCTGGGATATTTATTCTGGCAGGGTTAGTGACCCATCCTGCTCACTTGTTCCTCTCTCTGCAGCTGAGGAACAGCCTCTTATTCCACATATTTAAAAAAAAAATCAATTAGTTATGACTTGAACCTTAAATAAAACCATTTCAGAAGCTTAAAAACATGAGCTAGGCGGAACGATGCAGCCAGTGTGATGGGAGCATCCACTGCTGTATTCAAGTGAGATTTCTTTTTTCACTTCATTATCCTCTTAACTGTTTTAAAACCTTCCCCTTTTGCTGCTTTTCTGCTAATAGGCAGATTCCTCGTGGTCCTTGGGAGGTGTTTGGGGACTCTGGGGTGTCCCCAAGGCGTGGGTGGCACTGTTTGGTACCAGGGTCTCCGCGGTGTTCCCCCTGGATGCAGGGATTGTGCTTTGGCCCCTGTGGGTCAGAGCTCACCCTGGGTGCCATGGGGGCTCCTCAGGGTGCTGGGCAATCCGAGCAGAGCTCTGTTTGCATTTTGGTTTTTTTTTGTTTGAACAGAAGTTGCCGTGCCTGGGTGTTGGCCGCTTGCACAACGTGCAGGCTAGGAAGTAAATTGATCCACGGGAGCTCTGAGTTGGTGAACAATAGTTTCAATTTTATGGCTTCCCTGTTTATTTTGAAGGAGGTGGAGAAAGTCTAGTGGCCAGGATTTAAAAGAAAAAAAAAAGAAAAAAATATTAATTAACTGTGATGTACGAGTGTGAGAAATGGCACTCAGTGTCCAGGTGTGTCCTTTTGTGTTGGGATGCAGCTGAGGATTATGTGGAGCTGCTTGTCCATCTTAGGAAGGTGATATTTTGTTAGAAATCCCAGCTTTAACTCATTACCACCACCTTCCTTGGTCTCTGCTCAGCAGGCTGGCCCTGAGGTGTCTTAAAACCCCCTCATCCAGGAGAAATCCCTGCTCTGCTCTTCCCTCTCCTGCTGCACAGGCACAGCTTGCTCAGCAAGAAGGGATTTTATTAGGAAAAAAGCAGTTTGTGATGGAAGGGGAAGCAATCCTCTGTGGGACAGTGGAGAGAGTCAGCTGCTGCACTAATTGGGTTATTCTTCATTACCAGTCTGTGCTGGGCTGGGGGATGCCTCTGCAGCCCTGTGCTGCTGTCCAGCTCAAGGGGCTGGGATTTGGGGTGATGATCACCAGGATCCAGGGCCCCACATTCCCCTGCTGTGCTTTCAGATTTGTTTTTTTTTTAAGCCTGACCTTTGCGTTTTCAAGAAACTCCCTCCTGTGTTGCAATCTGAAGCTTTTAGGGCTGTTGTGGTGCCGTGGAAGTGAAAGTGCTTTGTGCTAAGTGGGTCTTAAAAAACAAACCCCAGAGCAGCCAACTCTTATTTTTTTGTCCTGTTAATTTTCATCCCAGTGAAACACTTGGACAGGATATAGCCTTGATTTATTTTTTGTAAAGCTGATGGTAAGGTGCTGTTTTGTGGAAACAACGAGTCAAAACAGGTTTTGGCCATAGTCTTCATCACCCCTCTCTGACTATGTTGGAGCATCATCTGTGGCTCAAAACTGCTCTGTTCTCCCTTCTTCTTCTGAAATCCTGAAATCCTGTTTTAGAATAAAAAAGCATATGTGGTTTTTTCATCTTCTTTTTCCTTTTTGTCCCCCACCTCTTCTCACCAGGTATTTCCCCGCTGTGTCTCTGGGCCTGGACTCTCCCTGCACCTTCAAACCTTCTCCAAGGATTGCATGGTGGCAAGGTGAGACCCCTCAAAACCTTTCCCAGCCTTGCTGTTCCCCATCCCTTTCCCCTCCTGCGAGCCTCTGGGAGGGATCTGCAACACGAAGTTTCCATTTGGAGCTGGCAAATTCCCGGTCTGCCGATTTCTAGGAAGCGTGGCTGGGGATCGTGTGGTTGGTGAAACCCTAGCACGTGTGATACCTGTCTGTCCTCAGCCCAGGGTCAGACATCTGCATCCCATTCTCCCCTCTCAATTTTCACCTATTCCTCACTGTTGGGAGACAGCAACACCTGTGTGGAGAGGGAATTGTAAAATTAAAAGGCTTGGTTTTATTTATTTCTGTGCTTCTCCGACCCGTCTGTGTTTATATCCCAGGGAAATGAGCAGTGTGGATGTTCAGAGGAGGGAGGATGGTTTGTCCTGGCTTCATTTACAGACTCACAACATTCATCTTGTGGGTAGCAGCAGCAACGGGGAAAGCAGGATCTGCTTGGGGTGTCAGAAACACCCAGGAGCTTTTGCACAGGGTAATTAATTAATGCCCTGCCTGAATCCAGAGCATACAAACAAGAAGATTCAGGCTCTGACACCAGCAGCAAGCTTGCTGTGCTCAGTGACATCCCTGCCTGCTCGCTACTTAAACCTCAGGGAGTAGCAGATTTTTTTTTTTTTTTTTTTTGCCCTACAACTGTTTGTTTCAAATGAATTGGGATTTTGGCCCCTGGCCAGCCTCCTCCTGTCGCTCCAAATGGGAGATAAGTGGGAGCAGTGCACTCTTTTCTCTAACCCACTTGGAGCCGTTTTTGCTGGACGTTGGAGCCGGGAGCTCTTTCCTAACGTGGGCCACATCTCCAGAGCTGGGTCCTGTGGGCTCCTTCCCTCCCACTGCTGCTGACGCAGAGTCTCCCCTCCTGCCTGCCTTGGCCAGCTTCCCTGGATGACTCCTCTAATTGCTTACGTAGAAAAATAATGAGAAGGATGCGTAGGGTGTATTTTTAGATGTCTCTTGGTGGGATTTAGCAAGCGGCGAGCCGGAGCCAGCACCTCCCTGTCCATCTCCTGCATCCCACTGCTGGCTGCTTGGTGGACCTGGGGAGGTTCTGTCCCCTCAAGGTGGTGATCCTTGGGCAAGGTTCACTGCTTTTTGGGCTTCTCCTGGTCCTTATGGGTGGGTTATGGATGATGTGTCCCTGGTGTTGGATGGGATCTGTGCTGGGAAGTCCTGAGCTGCTGATGCTGTGCCCGTGCTGGGATGGGCACCTCCTCCTCCTCACTCCTCTCCAAGAGGAAGGCTCTGGTGGCATGGAGACCATCCCAGCACCCAAATCATTGAATCATGGAATGGTTTTCATTGGAAGGAAACTTTAAAGCCATCAGATCCAGTCCCACCACCATGAGCAGGGACACCTTCCACTAGACCCGGTTGCTCAGGGCTCTGTCCAAACTCACCCAAATGTTCCCAGAAATGGGGCATCCATCACCCTTTGGATAACCAGTGCTTCACCACCCACATCATCAAACATTTCTTCCAAAGTAACCCATGTTACGTTTTTCCAATAAATACCTGTGAGATAATGGGTCTCACCACATGTTGCTTTGCTTTTTTAATTTATTTTTTTTTAAAGATGTTCCCATCTGAAACCCCAGCAGCGCAGAGGAAAGGGAGCAGAATCCCATTAAATATCCCCCGAAAGACTGTGATAATTGAGCCTTGCAACAAGTAGTTCCTTTATTTTTCTCTTTGCTTCTTCCATTTCAGGGCTCTTTGTGTCTCAGTGGCTTCCTGTGCTGGGGGGGCCGGGCTCCAGTCCTTCCCTTTCCACCCGGGTGCGAGGAAAGCAATTCTTCTTGCAGCGCGACTTATCTCTCCTTGGAGCTGAAAACATCCTTTCTTTGCTCTTTTTGAATCCCCCAAATGAATGATTTCTCCTGCTGGTTAACATCAGCCTTCCACGCTGAAGACTGTGGGAAAGTTTCACAATTACAGTGGCTTTAATAGATCTGGTTTATGTCTTAAAAAATCCATCGCTTTCTAATTCTCCGTCACATGTTTCCTTGATGATGTGTCACCCAGCAGTGCAGCTACCAAAATAGCCCCATGGTCTGAAGGAAATCATCAGGAAATATGTTTCTGAAACTGTAGGCAATTCTTTTTTTCACCAGGAACCATTGGAAAAAGTCTGTGTTCAATGGAAAACGTGGCTTTTCTGGCACCTTGGCTGCTTATGTGGTGACATTTGGGAGCACAGTGCTCCAGCAGTTTGCCCAAAAACCCCTCAGCTCCTTAAATTGTTGCCATGAATTTTCTCTTTATCCACCCAAATAGCGGGGATTCTTTTGGTGTTGGGCTTGCTTTAATTTTTGGGGAAAATGCTTGCTTGCGCATTGTCTTTCCATGCAGGGTGACAAACCCTTTCCTCTCCCACCACCTCCCGTGCTCCTGCCAGGCTGACGGGGTGTCTGCTGTGTCCCCCCAGGTCCAAGGAGACCATGACCACTGATGAGGCCACCAAGAGTGAAGGGGAGGTGCAGGCAGCAGCTCTGGCTGAGCGTGGGGAGGACATCACGCCGTCCAAGGACCGAGGGGTTCTGAAGGTAAGGAGGATCTGCCAAGAGTGTCCTGCCTTGCTGCACTTTGGGGTGCACTGTCACCCCGCTGGGCTGCAGCCCCAGCCCTCAGGGTCACAGTTCAGAACTGTAGGATTGAGTTCTTTCATTTCCAAGGCAAAGGAGATGAGCATTGCTTGGAGTGAAGGAGAATGGAGTGGTGGTTGAGGCTGGTGGGCCCAGGCTGCTCCATGGATTTCACTGCTATTGTGTTCCTAATCAGATTATTAGCTGTAAATCCACAAAGCATTTCTGTGTGTGACTCACAAACATTAGAAAGAGCACATTACTGAGGTCATCCAGTCTGCTCCACAGCCCCTTTTTCATATTCAGGGCCCTTTCTGGATAGTTCTGCTCCTCAGCACTTACACTTCTCCACTTGAATAGGACCTTTCCTCCAAGAATAGCATCCTCCCATGCTCCATCCTCAGCTCGAGAACTGCTTGTTCCCGGCTGCAGCGTTCAGAAAAAAGTGTTGACAAGGAGTGAGTAGTGAACTGACACACCCCTGTGAGTAAAATGTGGACAGACAGAGAGCGAGTGGAGCTGCACTCGCTGCAGGTTTGTTCATCCACCCAGTACGGACTGGTCTCTGCTGCCAGCCCAGTCCTGCTCCACTGCTCTGGCTCCACTTTGAGATTTGTTTTTAGGAGCTGATGATGGGCAAATTTAGGGGCAAACTAATAGCTCCCTCCTGTTCCTTGGGGCAGCACTGGGGTGTATATGATGTGTATATATATATTTCGTTATGTAAATGCCTGTGTGTACCTCCCTCCCCCTCCATATGGCCCCAGCTCACAGGTGGTTTCTCTCTCTCAGATCATTAAGAGACCTGGGAGTGAGGATGAGTCTCCCATGATTGGAGACAAGGTCTATGTGCACTACAAAGGGAAACTGGCCAACGGGAAAAAGTTTGACTCCAGCCGCGATCGCAACGAGCCCTTCATCTTCAGCCTGGGCAAGGGTGAGCTGCTCCAGGGCTCCATCCCTGGGATGGTGGAGCCTGGGATCACCCTGGGCCAGGCCATCAGCTGATCCTGTTCCAGGAGAGCTGGACAGCATCAGCCCTGCTTTAAATCCTGTCAGTGTGGGGTTTTTTTGGGTGCATCCAGGCTGGGTTTGTTCATGTAAATGTGGGGTTTTTTTGGGTGCATCCAGGCTGGGTTTGTTGCTGGCTTGCTGGGTGCTCCCTCCTGCCTGACATCTGCCTTTCTCCTAGGTCAGGTAATCAAGGCCTGGGACATTGGGGTGGCCACCATGAAGAAGGGAGAGATCTGCTACTTGCTCTGCAAACCTGAGTATGCCTACGGCTCTGCTGGCAGTGCCCCCAAAATCCCCTCCAATGCCACCCTCTTTTTTGAGGCAAGTAAAGCTGGTGAGCTGGTGTGTGGATGAGCAAGCTGGCTCCCGTTCTGCCTTGCCAGCCAGCTCAGAAATAAAAATTTGAAAATTTATAGTAATAATAATAATAATAATGCTCTGGGATGTGCCCTCTGCCAAAATCCCTGGCTCTGCCTTGTTCCCAAAGCATCAGTTGCCATCCCTTCCTCCTTCAAAACTTGCTAAGTATTTTGGACGTTCAGCAGTTTCTTTGGCCTCCTCATTCCAATGTTGATGGTATTTTTGGGGGGTCTCATCACATTTCGTACAGAATGGGGCTTTTTCCTTCTCTTATGGCCACAGGGCTGCTGTGGGGGGAAGGAAATTATTACAAGGGGTTTGCTGAGGCTGGGGTGGTCTCAGCTGATGTGGGAGGATGAGAAGCTCACACCCCATTGGGTTCTCCCTCTTCTGGTCCCATTTCTGCAGCAGACATTTCATGGGGAGAGCAGACTGGGGTTCGGGGTTTTTTCCTTCATAGGAACTGCTCAGACACACACACAGGGCATTTGCTTTCATTTCTTAATTCCAGAGCTGCTGTACACAAAGATCCTAAAGTCCCTCTACCAACTGAGAAATCGAATCTGATCTGTGAGAGCTTACAAAGCTCGCAGCTTTAAGTGGCTGGTTCTTCTAACAAGACTTTCTTTTAGGGAAAAATGAGATTTTTTACACCAATTCCACTGTCTGAGCAGTGGTCACTGTGCTGGGGGTGGCACAGCAGCTGTGGGGACACAGCAGTCCACCCTGGGGCAGGGCTGTGATGGTTTACCTCAGCTGTGTGGTTTGGGAGGTGCTGGAATTAGGCTGGAATAAATCTCTCTTCCAGGAGAAGTACCTCCAGGTTTTTATAGGCTTTAAGTTTTACAGACCCTAAATCCCAGTTCTGGTCCCTAAAACCTGTGCTGCAGTTGAAATCTGGCATTCCAGCTTTTGTTACATCCTTTCCCCCCACACCCCTCCTCCTTCTCCGTTTTTAATCTGAGTACAAATTGCTGTCAGCACATCAAGTTCGTGTGCCAGCCGCACTCAGTACACTCTGTTCTCAGCTCTTCAAAAACAAAATCGCTGCAGGCACTGAGAGAACAATAAGTCAGAGCTGCAACCGGAGTGATGTTCCTTCAGTGACTTTTTTTTCTCTGTAATCCAAGAGCGGCTGAACCAGCTGACCCACTCCTGGAAACCCGAGCAGAGATTTTCCCCTCTGTGCTCCGTGTGTTTTCTGTGCAATTAAAACAGAGCAGAACTATCCTTGGAAGGAAGGATCACAACATCCCCCTTGTGCATCCTGTTTTAAAGTGGATCCTCCCTTCACTGCCACATCCCACGGGGGATGTGGGAGCTGCGGGAGCTGCAGTGCTGCTTTTGGGGTCAGGGGTTGTGGATACAATCTCACCAGGAACGTGCAGGGAGATGCACAGTGCTGTGGGGTGGCTGGCTTACCTGTATTTTAGGCAGAATTTTCCACATTTTCTGTGCCTAAAAAAACAACCAGCTTGGTTTTGAGTAGTGCAAAAGCAGAGGTTGTCCCTGGAGGAGCTGGATTTGCCTTTTGCCCTCATCCCAAGCTGGGTGAGCTCAGGGCAGCCTGCCTGCCATGGTCACTGTGCACCAGTGATGGATGCAGGATGTGTCCCAGGGGGCTGGCAAGCCCCTGAGCATCCTCTGCTTGAGTCCCAGCATGGCTTTGGTGGCAAGAGCAGGGTGACAAGGCAGAGCCTGGAGTCCTGCCCCTGCAGTGAGGAACCCATCCCATCCTTGGGTTCTCTTAGGGGAGCTGGACCTGCCCTTGGAGTGGGGAATGCCAGGTCTGGCTTAGTCCATGCCTCTCATCCTAAAAACATCTGTGGGTCCCAGGGCAGGGCATGGACTCAGATTTCCTTCAGCCCAGGCTGCAGCTCTCCTGTGCAGAGCCCAGACCCTCCCAGCTGTTTTTGGCACCCAGCTTGTCCTGCCCCTCACCTGCCACCACAGCAGGATGCTCAGTGCCCTGCAGCACCTCAGGTTGCATTCTGTTCCCCTCAAACAAAGGTAAAGCTCATGTCTTTGCAGGCTGCAAAACCTTTAAGAACAGTTGTGAATTTTTCCTCTTACAAAGCTTTTTTTTGTTGTTGTTTGTTTTAGCTTTTTTTTTTTTCCAACAATATGTAGGAGTTCCTTGTGAAATTACTTTTGCTTGATGCCTGCCTGCACGTGTGTGTATGCCTTTCACCCTGCAAGCAGAATGCAAAGGTTGTAAAAGCGTCCCCAAAACCTGGAACGTCTTCAGGTTTGAATAAATAAAGAATAATCTTGCTGTGGAAAGCCAGCCAGGAGTGCCAGGTGGTGAATGTGCCAGGTACCCAGTGTCCGCTCTGCCTGCGCTTCTGCCAGCGTCTGGGGCTGGAACAGCACGGCTCCTGGTTGAAGATTAAAAATAAAAAAGTTTATCTTGTACTTTGAGTTCTCAGAGTCAGGAGAACGTGGCCTTGTTTTCGAGGCAGGAGTCAAGGCAGTATAGCACAGTATAGGAGATTTGTAATCACCGTGATAAACTCTGCGTGGCGCCGTGCCAGGAGCAATATCCAGTTCCAGTAAGACTTGACTCGTGCACTTGAGTACGAGGGGAACATATTAGTCACGATGTTTATCTGTTGTTTGGTCCCTGCTTAGACAAGATATGCCTGCCTTGCTTTTCAGCAATGCTCCCAAGCCCTCCTCATCCCTCTTCTCCAGGCTGCCCCCAGCCCTGGGTCTTCCCTCCTCTGGGGCTCTGCTGAGTTTTGGGAGAGATGCTTTATAAAATGCTTTCTAAGACAAAGCATTTGTCTTTTGGGCAATGGGCTCTTTTTGGAGCCCACCTTTCTCCGAGGTTTGGGTGATTCTGGGTGCCACCCTGCCCCTCTTGTCCCTCTGCAGTTCACCTGGAGGGATTCTGTGGCGGCCGCAGGTTCGACTGCAAGGACGTGAAATTCGTGGTGGGCGAAGGGGAGGACCACGACATCCCCATCGGCATTGACAAGGCCCTGGAGAAGATGCAGAGGGGAGAACACTGCATCCTCTACCTCAGCCCACGGTGAGGAGCATCTCCACAGCGGCGCTGAGTGGGTCTCAGCCTCCAGCCCTTGTGGAAGATGGTGATCCTGACAGCAGGGCTCTCCAGGAGAGTCTCAAGGGACACCAGCAGGAGCAGCAGGGGTGACCAGTGGCATGTAAACAGGAATATTGAGATGCTTTAAAAAAAAACAGGTGAAAGGGCTTTAGCCAAGTCCAGTGTCTGAGATGAAAATGTCTGGAAATGAGCAGAGCTGGAGAGAAGCCTGTGTAAAAAGATGGCTTTGATGCAGCAGAAGGGATGATTCCCAACACATGCACTGCACACCCACAGGGACCTGTGCTCATGGAGACTAACATCACCCTGTCCCCAAAACGCTGGAAAGCTCTGGGTGGCAACCTGGGTGTGCATTTATGGGCCAGCTCTGCTGAAAATAAGGTTTTCCCCTTCTCTGAGTGCCTCCCCCTGCCCTGCAGGTACGGCTTTGGCGAGGCTGGGAAGCCAAAATTCGGCATCCAGGGGAACGCAGAGCTGGTGTACGAGGTGACCCTGAAGAGCTTTGAGAAGGTGAGGGCAGAGGTGCTCCTGTCCCTGCCTGGGCTGCAGGAATGTCAGGGCCTGTGTAGCCTCCAGCCTTTGTCCCTGGCGTGGCTGCAGCCCAACCCCTGCTGAAGTGGACACGTCACCGAGGAGCTTCGTGTTCTTAATTTGTTCTTCTCTGTTGGTTTGTTTTATTCTTGTGGCTGAGGTCCAAGGCTGGGTGTCTTATTTGTTCCTAACCTTGTCCTTTTGTACTTTCTCTTTATTTTAATATTATTTTTTCTTCTTGCTTTTTTTTTGCCCTATTTTTCTTTTTTTTCTCCTCCATTTTTTTTCTTTTTTTCCTCCCTTTTCTCTCCCTTTTCTCCTCTTTTCTCCTCATTTTTCCTTTTTTTGACTTTTTTTTTCTTTTTCTCCTTTTTCTGCTTTTTTTTTCTCCCTTTTTTCTCTTTTCCTTTTATTTTCTTTCCCTTTTTTCTCCTTTTTTCCACGTTTTTTTCCCCCCTGGGCTGCACAGATAAAAGCTGGTCCATCCAGCCAGCCCTTGGCTGTGCCCATGAGAAGGCTGGGGATGGGATGCAGGAGAAGCCCATGGGATTTGCACATCCCTGGATGGTTCCCCTGCCTGTGCCATCACTCTGGCCACAGCAGGGGCAGGACCTGTCTCCAGGCTCTGTGGCACAGCCCTGCTGAGCCCTGAGTGTGACCATGCTGTCCCAGAGAGTGGCATGGTCCAGCTGGGACAGGGGAGGCTGCTCTGCTCCCCTGGGAGTGCTCCAAGTGTTCCTTTGCAGGCCAAGGAGTCGTGGGAGATGGACACCAAGGAGAAGCTGGAGCAGGCAGCCGTGGTCAAGGAGAAGGGCACGATGTACTTCAAGGTTTGTGGACTTGGGGGTGGCAGAGGCAGAGGAGGGGAGCTGGGGCTGAATTTGGCAGCCAACAGTGTCAGAGAAGCCATGTGCCCCCAGACAGGGCTGGGGAAGGTGAGTCCTGCCCTTCCTCTGCCTTTTTCTCACTCCTTGATGCTCCCTGAGATGTCTCATCCCTTCCCAGCATTGCCTTGGCTCTGTGTGCTCCCTGCAGAGCAGGACAGCAGATCAAACCCTTCCCAGGCCAGGGCCAGTGCTGAGGGGCTTTACATTCCCCTTCCCAGCTGGGGCATCCCAGCTCCCCACTGTTCTGGCTCAGCTTTTCCCAAAGCTGCTGGTTCTGTGGGAGTTGGGATCCTCCTCCTTCCCTGTATTTATTGAACACCCCACATGGCACTTGCCACCTGCTCACGGGACATTCCAGGGGCAGGCTGAGCCTCTTTTTTTTTTGCTCCTTTCAGGAAGGCAAGTACCTGCAGGCAGTGATTCAGTATGGGAAGATTGTGTCCTGGCTGGAAATGGAGTATGGCTTGTCTGAAAAGGAGTCTAAAGCCTCTGACTCCTTCCTGCTGGCTGCCTTCCTCAACCTGGCCATGTGCTACCTGAAGCTGCGAGAGTACGCCAAGGCTGTCGAGTGCTGTGACAAGGTAGGGGTGCCCTGATGCCATCCCTGGGTCCCCAGAAACTGATGCCTGTATGGGCTACCTAAAAACAGGGGCCAGACAAAATGAAGGGAATAAAAAGCAGGTGTATTTATTGAAGGGCCTTGGGGTACATTTAGGGGCTACACCCAAAAAAATGGACAATGGGTCATGGGTTTTCATGCTTTTATAAGTTTGGGGTATTTGCATATTGAGGGTTAATCTTCCAATTACAGCTTCAGGTAATGGAGTAATTTAGCCTAAGTTTCCTCCCCCCCACATCACTTTTGTTTCTATCTCTTGGGGCCTGAGGCAGTGAGGTGTCCTTGATTCCAGGGCTAGAGAGGAATTGTTGTGTCTGCCCAAAATGGGAGAACAGCAGCTAACACTGTACATAGAGTTTAGAGTTACACACAAAAGAATTACAGTATTACAAATATATTAAAAATATAAAAGCTAAAGTCCTAAAGCATCAGCATGAGCCTGGAGGATGAAGCATCCTCTTCTCCTGCATGTTCTCATTGGGAGTTTGGTGGAGTTTTTTAAAGTTCCTTTTCATCTAAGAAGGAATACCCCTGCCACACTCAGGGGTATTTTAAGCAAGGAGAGATAATAAAACTATATTAATGATCTCCCAGCTGCTGATGGAGATGAGGCAATTTTTGTTGGGCAAGATGCAAATGCTCTGGAGATTTGAAGCCACCTTGTCCTAATTTTGACAGATTTATTGAGGCTTCAGCTGTAGGGGATCTCTTGGGAGGGCTCAGGGATGTTAACAGAGACCTGTGTGTGTTCCCAGGCTCTGGGGTTGGACCAGGACAATGAGAAAGGCTTGTACAGGAGGGGTGAAGCCAGGTTATTGATGAACGAGTTCGAGCTGGCCAAATGTGACTTTCAAAAAGTGCTGGAAGTGAACCCACAGAACAAAGCAGCGAAATCCCAGATCTCCGTGTGCCAGAAGAAAACCAAGGAGCACAACGAGAGGGACCGGAGGATCTACGCCAACATGTTCACAAAGTTTGCAGAGAGGGATGCAAAGGTGAGTGTTGTTGCTCATTTCTGGCCATCCAGGGTTGTGCTGAGGGATGCTCCACAGGTCTGTGATGAGAAGAGATGGGTTAAACCAAATTAAATTAGAGATCAGGGTGGAGGATGGAGGGATAGAGCCTGCTGCAGTGGGAAGAAGTTTTTACTTCTTGGTCTCTCTTATGCAGAGGGTGCCATCAGGTGCTCAATCACCAATAAAAGCATTTGCAGTGTGAGTTCACAGGGCTGCTAACAGGGTTGGCACTGGTGTTTAAGCTGGCTGCTCCCAGCTAGTGAGTGTTGATGAACTCCTGGTGGCCAGTAAAGTGAAGTATCATTCCATCCCCAGCAGGAGTATTTTGAGACATGATAGTGTGGATTTCCTGAAGTTGGTAAGGCAATACCTGCTCCTCTGCTCGGGTGCAGAGATCGCTGTCTCAGAACAGGCTCTCATCCAAAATTCCACTGAACAAAACCCGGTGTACTGTAATGAGAGAGGACACAACTTTGCAAGCCACTGCATGGGTCATTTTTAGTATAATCTCTTCTGAAGCAGTGTCTGGAGGCTGAGGCTGTGGATTAAGTGACTGGTGCAGCCCCTGGGGAGCAGCATGCTGGGGCAACTGGCTCGGGCAAGGATCAGGGCCAGCCTGGCCAGCTGCTGGCTCTGTGCTTGGCTCGTGTGGGCAGCTGTGATGGGCACAGTCACTGCTGCAGCAGCAAAAGGTTCCCTGTGCCTGAGTGCTCCTCTCCTGCACCCTCTTGATGGGCTGCACCCACAGCTCAGTCCTGTATCTCCACTCTGACACTGCTGCCTTACCTCCTCATCCTCTCTTCCCTGTCCATCCATCCATGGATCCATGGATCCATCCATCCCTCCGTCCATCATCCATCAATCCATCATCCATCCATCCATCCATCCATCCATCCATCCATCATCCATCCATCCATCCATCCATCCATCCATCCATCCATCATCCATCCTCCATCCCTCCATCCATCATCCGTCATCCATCCATCCATCCATCCACCCAGGCTCACTCTGTGTCAGGCTCTGCTTCTGGTGAGGTGGGTCACATCATTCCCAGGGGTCCCACACCTTCCCCAAAAGCTGCCTGAGCTGGTGAGCTTTAACCTCTACCAGCCACTGAGTCAAGGAAGCAGAACATTCCAGTGGGAGCTGCACTGCTCGATGGGCACGGGCGAGTTGTGGGTGGCAATTTTACCTCTCCCCTGCCAGGCTGGACTTCCTGGGCCTATTCCCAGCATCCCTGTCTCTTGCCTGCCCCTTCCCTCTCCCCTTTCCAACTCAGTGTTGTTCTATTTGCTGTTTGGCAGGAAGCAGCCAGCAAAACTGGTGTGGAAAAAACAGCGGAGAAGGCGGTGTGTGGAAAAGGACCCAAAACTCCTGGTGCTGAAGGTGAAGAGGCTGAAGGACATGTATGATGGAGGAGGAGGGGATGGGATAGCCTCGTGCCCTCGGCCCACACTGAAAAAGGTTGCTGCCAAACCTTGGGACTTGCCAGTGTTTCCTTGTAAAGCTTGTTACAGTTTGTGTGATCGTGGAAGCCAAAAGCACCTCGCAAAGAAAAGCGACCCCGTCCCACCGCCCTGGGGGCACGGGGGGCAGAGCAGGGGTGGCAGGACACCGTGGGACCACTGCACGTGGAACAAATACCATTTAAACAGCAGGGAAAAGAAAAGAAATTATTATAATGATAAATTAAAGCGCTTGGCTGCTGGGAGGTTTCCGTAGACAGCTTGTTCCAGCTCCCTGGGCTTTGTGTCCACTCTCAGCACAGCATCCTCTGAGAGGAGCTGGGACGTGGGACACGATCCTTGCACACTGCAGTGCTGCCTCTGGCTGTCCCAGCACAGCCCTGGGGACAGGGACTGCCTTTGTCTCCTGCTGACTCCTTGCCTGTGCCCAAAGTTTGGAGGGCAGAGCCAGGATGAGAACCCACCCGGCCTCTGCTGCAGCCCCAGGGTGCAGAGACATCTTTAGTCTTTAAAGCACTGTTTGGGGAGGGGGGCACACACAGATTTTACCTTCTGAAGGAGCTGGTTCCTGTTTCTTTAGAGAGAAAAAGCCTGTCCAGCTTTGCAGGTGCTCAACCCACAGCCTGCACCCCATCCCTTGGCTCCCAGCTTTAAGTGGGAGTTTTATTGCTTTTATTGGGATCTGTATGTGGGGAAAACAAAAAAAGCAGGTTTGACACGTGGTTCAGAAAGTGGCTGGGTCTGAGCTGGTGCCATGGGTTTGTCACTGAGCAGCTTTCCCATGGTGAGGGGGTCCTGGGTGCATGGTGTCCCTGCACCAGAGCTGCTGCTGCCTCCTCAGCCATCAGCCCATCCCAAAGGGACACTGTCACTACCCCATGAGAACAGCTTTTCCAGTTGTTATTTTTCCTGTCTCTACAATAATACCCCTTTTGGAGCTTGAAAATAAACAACTGAAAGAAAAAGGAAAGAAAAAAAATAAAATAAAATAGTGCTCTTTCTCTGGATCCTGCTCAGCAGATGGGGTGGTGTGGGGAGGATGGGTGGGTGCTCCTTGGTGGGGGGGAGATGCCCCAGGAATTTTTGGTGTCTCCAAGAGCTGGTGCTGCCCCTTTTTATCAGTGCCATTGTTCCCTGGAGAGGCAGTGAAGGGCCAGCAAGCCTTGCTTTGGCAATGCCTGGCTGGGGGATGCTCTTTGGGGATCTCAGCTGTTTTTTCACCCTGGGAGGTTTATCCTTATGCTTTTTTTCCCCCCATCCCTAGTGTGTTATTTTAGGAGGGGTTTTCCTGAGGGTCAGCTGAGTGGGTGGAGGAGTCATTTGTGCCCCTTGACCGAGGGTGGGGAGAGAACAGAAAGCTGAGCCAGTGGGGTATTAGGACTGCCCACCCCTCTTTTACACCCTCCTCCACAATCTTGGCAGACTAAGCCAGATTTGGTTAAAATTCCTCTTCTCCAGTCCCATCAGGTGGTACCTGAAGCATCATTTCTCAAGCCTGTCTGTTTTCCCACCTGCAGTAGTGGCACAGCTGCTCCAGCTGCTCATCCAGCTCTTGGGTTTTTCTACCACCATGGGATGCACCTCCCTGGAGGCTGCTGTGAGACCCAAGGCCTCTGCAAAATATGGGTTTTTCATTTTTCCTTGCAGGGCAAAAAAGTCCTTTGGGGGCAGCCCAAGCCACATTTTCCATAGGAAATAATCTCAACAGGGAAAAAAAAAAAAAAACCAAACCCAAAAAACCCCCCAAAAAATCAACTTGCTTTGCAGTTTTTGGGCTTGCTCCCCGTTTTTAAGCAGATTTTTTCAGTTTATTTTGGCTTGGTGCCTTTCTGTCCCTTGGAAGAGAAATGGAATTCGTGTGGGTGATGAGGTTTAGAGATGAAAGGGAAACCAGGAGGGTTTTGTAAGGAGGATTAAGAAGTTCCCGGTGCTGATGGGTGTGCAGTGCTCAAATGCCATCTAGTGGCACCAAGCACGGGCTGGGGGTTTTGGGGGGACCGTGGTGGGCTGGCCAAGGCCGAGGGGCCGCTGGGGACACTGGGGACACTTGGCTTGTCTGGCTTTGCAACCCGAGAGCGTCCATGGGGCCTCTGAGGAGGAACAGCAGGAGTTAAGTGGTGCAATGAGCAGGGGAGGCGTGAGCAGGAGATTGTGAAACACATCCAGAGAGACCTCGGGACGTGGGACAGGGTCAGGGCAGAGCAGTGCTCGGTACAGAAACCCTTAGCACCACCCGGAGCAGGGATGCTGCCTTCCCCTGCATGGGCTTTCCATGTGAACTCACACAAAACAGCCCAAATCCTGCTTTTCACCCGCCAAGAAGACTTTTTTGGGTGAAAAACAAAGATACCCAGGGAGGATAACTTAAACACAGTCAGAAAGCCGCTCCTCTGCCCACGGGCTGTGCCGTGCCAGGGACCCCAACCAGCCAGGGGGGAACCTGTGCACCCCAAAAAGGTCTGGGGTCTTTGACCCCCTGCATTCCTGCAGAGCCCCCTTTCCCCGCGATTATTCCCTGCCAGCTGCTCTCCCGGCAAGCCTGCCTGCCAGCCCCTGAAATCCTATTAACCGAGTTTCAGGAGAAATAAAGTTAATCACCTCCTCCACCTGCTCTTCCTCCTTTCCCTTCTCCTCCTCCCAGCCCGGAGATTGCGGAGGCGGCCGAGGCCGCTCTGGCTGCTGTGGCTGGGACTGAGCCCATGGCCCTGGGCTGCTAGGGGTGCAGGGCAGGACCGAGCCGAGCCGAGCCGTGCCGTGCCGTGCCGAGCCAGGGCGGGCCGTGCCGGGCTGTGCCGGAGCGATGCCGCTGCAGACGGAGATCCTGAGAGAGGTCTGGGCTGCCGACAGGTCGGTGCCGGAGGCTGGGTGGGGTCTGTGGGGTGGGTGATGCGGGGTGGGGTCCGCAGGGTGGGATCCGTGGGGGTGGGATCTGTAGGGTGGGATCCACTGGGTTTACAACTGAGCTTTCCCCAGGCCATGACCCTGAAAGCCAGATCCCCCCCTTCCCTGCCTTTCAGAACAGCCCCCTGGGATCCTTGGGGTGGGATCTGCACTGCGGGATCCACGGGGCGGGATCTGCAGGGTAGGATCCATGGGGTGGGATCTACAGTGTGGGATCCATGGGATGGGATCTGCAGTGTGGGATCTGCAGTGTGGGATCTGCAGTGTGGGATCTGCAGTGTGGGATCTGCAGTGTGGGATCTGCAGTGTGGGATCTGCAGTGTGGGATCTGCAGTGTGGGATCTGCAGTGTGGGATCTGCAGTGTGGGATCTGCAGTGTGGGATCTGCAGTGTGGGATCTGCAGTGTGGGATCTGCAGTGTGGGATCTGCAGTGTGGGATCTGCAGTGTGGGATCTGCAGTGTGGGATCCATGGGGTGGGATCTGCACTGCGGGATCCACGGGGTGGGATCTGCAGGGTAGGATCCATGGGGTGGGATCTACAGTGTGGGATCCATGGGATGGGATCTGCAGTGTGGGATCCATGGGGTGAGATCTGCAGTGTGGGATCTGCAGTGTGGCATCCATAGGGTGGGAGATGTCCTGGACACCCCCAGCGTACTCCCCTCTCCTCCTGCTCCTTTTCCTCCTGTTTTCAATTTCAGCGCAGTTCAGTGAGCAGTTTAATCACGGTGTTGTTTCTTTGGGGGTTGGTGGGATGATGCTCACTGATTTACAGAGAGGAAAAGTTTGTTAGATGGGGATCCCCAAATTAAGCTCCTTGCTGTCTCCCCCGGCCAAGACAGAGCCTGTCCTGTGCTCTGTTAGGAGGGATGATGTCAGGCAAGCTCGACCCAGTGGAGACAGGGAAATGCTGCTGGAACCAAATAAAAGAATGACCTTTCCCCCTTTACCAAGAATCGGGGCAATCTCGTGCCCCCAGGGTCTGTGGAGGGCTGAAAGCCCTCATCCTTTTGGTTTCTGTGCCCCACAGCCCCAGTGAAGAGCCGGGGAGCCCCCAACAGCACAAACCCAAACAGGTGAGAAAAAAATCCTTCCCCTCCATCCCATGTGCCACCATCCCCTGCTGTGGGCTGTCCCCAAGGTCTGAGGACACCAGAGACACTCAAACCCCAGAGCCCACACCAAGGCAAATTTGGGGCTGCTCTATTGGGGTGCTGCAGCCTGTGAGGGCATGAGATTTTTGGGAACCCCCTCCAGAGCAGGTGGGTAGAGACAATTCCACAGCCCTCCCTTCTTTGTGCATCCTTCTGAATCCCCCCTCCACCACTTTGAAGCACCCCATGAGGAGGGATCCTAGTTCTTAGATAACAATTTAATTAAGCCCCTCAGTTAAGCTGTAAACTGTGACTCACTTTCCCCAGGCCATGACCCTGAAAGCCAGACCCCCCTTGCCTGCCTTTCAGAACAGCCCCCCAGTGCCCCCCAGCCTTGGAAGGCTCTCAGCAGCAATTTCATCCACCACCCAATTTAATTTTTAATCAGCAGCTCCTCCTTGAAGGGCTTTGTTAAGTAAGGGAGTGGTTGCCCACCCTGCAGCTGCTTAAGGGATTAGGGGGTGCAAAGGAGATTTTCCGTGTGAGCTCATGACACGGAAGAAAACAGCCAGTTCCCATCTTCACCATGGAGCCCCCAGCTCCCCCTCCCCAAATTCACAGTCCTGGGATATCACAGGGATCCATCAGGATCCCACTTTTTGCAAAACACCTTCACACGCTGCCCTGGAGCACGTGGGAGAAGGGAAAGCCCTGCGAGGGGCAAGATGCTCCGTTGGGCAGCGGAAGCCTCGGTACACCTGGATTTGCTGAGATCACTTTCTGAGAGCCCTGAGCTGACACCCACTCCCCAAATACCTCCTGCCCAGAGCCAGGTGCTGACCCACATGCTCTGTATTTGGTAAATCGGGGTTATTTATAGCCCCAGCTAACCAGGATTAGGTATGCTGTGCCTAATCCTGCTGCTTCCTTGCTCCTGCTGACCTGCTTGCCATGCACAGGAGCTTCTTGTGGGTGTGAGAGCTGATGGAGGTGACAGTCCAGGCTGTCTGCCCCTCCTTGTGTCCCCTGTCCCAGCTCAGGTGCCCAGAGTGGCCACCAGTGCCCAGAGTGGCTCCCAGCCAGGGTCCCCTGTGTGATTTGTCCCTCTGTGCTGACACGGTGTCACAGCAGCACCATCATCCCATCCCTCACCTCCAGGGCTGTCCCAGGGCAGGTGTTCTGTCTGTCTGCTAACAGACCTTTGTGTTTTCCTCCCTCTGCCTTCCTCGGGGGGCTGCCCCACGGTAAGTGACACTTGGGAAGGTGGCAGGGTGTCCCCTGCTCCCGTGCTGGGCCGGGGAAAAGCCTGGCTGTATTTCTGGAAGGAACCCAGTGCTGATGGAGCAGGGGTTCCCTGGTAAAGGGAAAAGGTGTTTAAGCTGGCACCACCTCTGCAGCACCGTCCATGAGGGCAGAAGCTGAAGAAGAAGAGGCAGGAGCCTGGGCTGGAGCCCGAGGCCAAACCACGGCGGCCGCGGGTGAAGAAGCCGAGTGAGGCAGGGGCTGCAGAGGAGCCCCCAGCCCCGGCACAGGGTGAGCACAGCCCCCCACAGCCCCCGGGGAACTGGGGCGCCCCACCCTGCTCCCGAGGCACTCTCCATAGTGGCCATCCCTTGAAACGTGCAGGGGTGAAGAAGGTGAGGAAGAAGAAGGAGGAGAAGGGGGAGGAGGAGAGCGACAAGGACCCTTCCTCCAAATTCCCCAAGGAGCCTCGGAAGAAGAAGGAAAGCCTGGCTCCCCGCTCCCAAGTGCCCAAGGGCTCCAAGAAACCACAAGGTGCGGGGGCAACACCCAACACCCGACCCTCTGCAGACTCGTGGCACCTCGTGTGCCCCGGTACCAGGTCGCGATAGCGCCGGGGGTGCTCCCGGTGCCTGCGGGGGCTGTGCCGGGGCTGTGCCGGGGCTCTGCTCATCCCCGGCAGAGCTTTCTGCCTAAACCCCGCTCCGGACCTGGGAGGAGCGGGGATGTGGCGGGGGAGCTGCGCTCGCTGCCTTGCTCGGGGAGCGGGTATCGAGGGACAGAGGGGGGTGGCACACTCCCGGGGGAGGTGACACTGCGGTCCCCGGGAGCGAGGAGCGGCTCGGCTCGGCTCGGCTCGGCTGCGGCCGCGAGAGAGCGCTCTGGCTGCGGCTGGACACGGCCGGGCCGGACCCCGGCACCGCCGGGGACAGCGAGAGCCCCGCTCCGGCCGCTGCCGCCAGCCACGGCCCCTCCTCGCTGGGGGACCCCGCTGCCCAAGGGTGTTGTGTTGGCTGATGCCGCGGTCACCTCCGGGCAGAGCCGGCTGAGGATGAGGAGGATGAGGAAGAAGAGGTGGAGAATAAAAACCCGCCGAAAAAGCTCAAGAAGAAGCTTCCCAAAGAGCCTCTCTCAGGCGGGGGGGAGAAGAAGCTGAAGACAAAGGGTGAGTGCGTAGGGGACAGGGATGGCTTAAGCCCAGCTTTGGGATCTGGCCTTGCTGGACGAGGGAAGTGCCTTCACTGTCCCGGAGGCTCAGGGGGCTGCAGAGCCATCGCCCCCTCCCCAGGCGATCTCCCCCCAGCTCAGCCCTTTCTGCTGCTCCGACCCTGTCCCCATCACTGCCCATTCCCGTCCCCCTGGCTGGCTGCTCATCAGCTCCTCTGTCCCAGCAGAAGACAAGAGCGACCCTGACAGCAAAGCCAAATCTGCCAAAAGCACCAAGAAGGAGCCAATGTCCGTGTTCCAGGTGAAGAAGGAGAAGAAAAGCAAGAAGAAAGGTATGGGATGAGCAGGAGGAGGAGGCAGCCAGTGCTGCTGCCTGATGGCATCACCAGTGTTGTGTGACCATGTCCCCTGTGTCCCTCACAGCCGCCACCAGCAGCGATGAGGAGGACGATTCTGACTCCAGCACCAAACCCATTAGGTCAGAGAAGAAGAAAAACCCAGCATCCCTCTTTCAGACTGGTGGGGACCCCCCAAAAGAGAGAAAATCCAAAAAGAAAGGTGAGAGCCCAGCACTGGGGGGTGGGGGGTTCTGGTGGGGCTTCTGGGGGTGCAGTGAGCTTGGCCATGGAGAGGGGGTTACAATCATTGATGTTGACACTGGTCTATGCTGAGCTTGATTTTGGGGCTCAGTAGAGTCAGGATCTTCTCCCTTCTGTGTCCCTACCTGTTCCTGCCAGCAGTTCCTCCCAAAGGGGCTGAGAGTGAAGAGGAGACCCCAGAGGCCCAGCAGAAGAACTCCAACAAGAAGGGGAAAGCAAAGAAATCAAAGAAGGTACAAAAGACCCCTCAGAGCCATGGGAAACCCCTCAGGGTGGGAGAAGAGCAGCTCTTCCCCTCAGGGCAGGTCAGGAGGTTTGCAGCATCCCCCGCTGAGAGCCACCAGAGTGTCCCCAAAGCCACCAGCTGCAGAACCCGGGGGGGATGGACACCAAGGAGCAATTAGTGGGGAGGCAGGGGGGCTCTGGGGTCACCATCCCCTCTCACGCAGCAGCAGAAGGAGGAGAGGCCCCCGTCCCCTGTCATCGAGGTGGACAACCTGGAGGAGTTCGTGCTGCAGCCGGCGCCGCAGGGCGTGACCGTCAAGTGCCGGGTGACACGGGACAAGAAGGGCATGGACAGGGGGCTTTACCCCACCTACTACCTGCACTTGGACAATGACAAGAAGGTGATTTGGGGCGGGGGCATGGAGATATCCATCCCAGAGAGCACCCTCAGGGTTTGGGGGATGCTCACCTCACCCCGCTGTGCTGGTGCACCCTGAATGAGGCTGCTCTCCTCTGCTGCAGTTCCTGTGGGTGGTGCCTGGGAGGATGAGCTAACAGTGGCTACAGAGCCGTGCTAAAGCTGGGCTGGGCTCAGCCCCTCCTGCCCTGTAATGCAGTCAGTATTTTGGGGATCATCTTCATGGCTTGCTCAAGGTCATGGCAGTGACTGGGGGGACAGCAGTGACAATGGCAGTGACAATGTGCCATTCCCACATGGTCCCACTGCTCTGCCAGGTGTTCCTCCTTGCTGGGAGAAAGCGTAAGAAGAGCAAAACCTCCAACTACCTCATCTCCATCGACCCCACTGACCTGTCACGGGGTGGAGAGAACTTCATCGGGAAGCTGAGGTAGGAGCAGAGCTGGCACCCCAGCTTGGTGGCACCCCGTTTCTGCAGCACCCTCTTCCCACTCCATGACTTACAGGCTGTCCCAAGCTATGGCTGGCACAGACAGGAGGTTAAATTCAGCATTTCCCACTGCCGTGTCTGACCTGAGGAGTGGTGGGGGGCTGACAGGGGAAAACAAGCTTGGCCGGTTCCTCCCAGCAGACAGGTCATGGCTAGAAAAGGCACCTGGCAAGTCCCAGCCCGCACTGCCAGCAGCCACACAGCAATGCTGGGGGTCCCCGTGGTGGCAGCACCCTGTCACACCCCGATTTGGGGGTTCCTTGAACCCAAGAAAACCACTGAAGAGCGGGAAGGTCGGCATTGGCGGGGAGCAGCACCGGGGGTTTGCAGCCAGACCAAAACCAAGGCTGTGCCTGGAGAGAGGCCACAGAGGGGGCAGAGGGGACTCGGTGGCATCAGCCACGGCCACGTCCCACCCTTGGCTGCAGATCCAACCTGATGGGGACGAGGTTCACCGTGTTCGACAACGGCGCCAACCCCGACAGGGCCAATGCTGACTGGTCCAACGTGCGGCAGGAGCTCTCGGCCGTGGTCTACGTAAGAGCAGCCACACAGGGAGCCCCTTCCCGCCTCTCCCGGGCAGGGAGAGAGGGGTTCCCACCCTGCACCCCTCCACTGGGGCTTGCAGACACATGGGGTGGGCTGGAGCCACCCCCGAGCCCTCGTTCAGCCCCCCTGAGAGGCTGTAAGCCGCGGTGGTGGCTGGTTTTAGGGAAGGGGTTTCTCTTGTAGGAGACCAACGTTTTAGGGTTCAAAGGCCCCCGGAAGATGACTGTCATCATCCCTGGGATGAATGCTGACTGTGAGAGGGTGCCCATCCGGCCCCGGAACGTAAGTCAGGGGCCAGACTGAGAGAAATACCTTGGGAGGTGAATTTGCTGGGCATCACCTTGGATTTTACCCATCTTGGGGCATGGAGAGGCTTTCAGGTGTCCCTAAAATTCAAGATGTCCCTGGGAGGTGGGAGACATGGTGTCTTTTTCCCCATAATAGATCCCATTTCCAGCTGGGTTCTGTTACAGAGCATCCCCCAGGATGCCACAGGGAGGTGGCAGGGCTCTGGAGGGGTCACCCCAACTCTCCTCCCCTCCCTCTTGCCCCTCCCCAGGATAACGACGGCCTCCTGATGCGATGGCAGAACAGGAACATGGACAACGTGATCGAGCTGCACAACAAAGCCCCAGTGTGGAACGACGAGACCCAATCCTACGTCCTCAATTTCCACGGCCGGGTCACCCACGCCTCCGTCAAAAATTTCCAGATCGTGCACAGCAGTGACCGTAAGCTGGGACAGGGGATAGGCTGGGGGAGCACTGCCTCATGAGCTGGCCCCAGCACCCAGTGTTTTTGTTGAAGTTCAGTTTTTTTCACGCTCTGGAGCCCTGCCTGCCTTTGTGGAGCTGGGATGAAGCCAGACAGGTCTCCCTGCAGGAGCTGCCCTTGGGCCCTGGCGCTGGCAGGGGCAGCATGTGAGGCTCCTGTTGCCAGGCAGCTTTAGGGCAAGGACAGATGCTGTGGGGTGCTGAGCCCCCATCACACTCCAGCCACCCACCCAACCCAGAGCATTGTCCCCAGCACACTGCTGGCAGGCTCACCCTGGGGTGCACTGAGCCTCGGGGACGGTCCCTCAGGGGTGGCAGCAGCTCTGCCTGGATGCGGCTGCTCGTCACCTGTCCGGCGCAGTCAGAAGCCCTTGGCCTCCGGGGTGTTGGGTTACGGGACAGAAAAAGCCTCTTGAGGGCCCCTGGTTATTTTTACAGATTTCCTGTCACCCGCCCTCCAGCAGCAGCAATCCCACGGTCAAGGGGGGGGTGGGGTGAGTGGGGTCCCTGTCCCTTGGGGGGCTGTGGCACCCAGGGAGGTGGGTGCTGGAGGCACCACGGGAAAAGGCTGCATTTTGGCGATCGGTGCTGCAGTAGAGCACAGGAGCCCCGGGCTGAGCTGGGGTGGGGGTGCGTGGGCAGCTTCTTTCGGCCGCTGCGGCGTGGGCTCGCTGGGGACAGGGACAGGGAGAGGCAGGCTGGGGGCACAGGTGACAGAGCTGGCTCGCCCTCTCTCCCGCAGCTGACTACATCGTGATGCAGTTTGGGCGGGTGGCGGACGACGCCTTCACCATGGACTACAACTACCCGCTGTGCGCCGTGCAGGCCTTCGCCATCGCCCTCTCCAGCTTCGACGGGAAGCTGGCCTGCGAGTAGCACCGGGACCGCCGGGGCTGCCGGGACCACTGGGACCACCGGGACCACCCGCCAGTGCCCGCAGGATGCTCCTGCAGCCCTGTCCTGTTCCGCTCCCTGCACTTCCACCTTCTTGCAGTCACGGCTGTTCCCGGGGTGGTTCAAGGCACCTGGTGCCCACCGAGGGCTGTGGGATGCTCACCCAGCTGCAGCCACCCTGCCTCTCCAGGCAAATTTGGGGCAAATCGCTGGGCTGGGGTGATGGCAGAGCCAGGTATATTCATATTCATATTCAGCAGATGAGGCTAACTGCAATCCCTGTCTCATCCCTTTGGACTCAGGTCCTGGAAACTCATCCGCCACCCCCTGCTTTTTTGTTGTTTTTTTTTGGTGGTTTTTTTTGTTGTTGTTTTGCTTTGGGTTTTTTGGTTTTTTGTTTTTTGGTTTTTTTTTGTTTGTTTGTTATGGTTTATGCTCAGTCTCCCAATGAGAAGGGGGTAGGTGGTCTCCTCACTTTGTATCTCCTCATCCCTGCCCACGTGCAGGTGGGCTCTGCCTAAGCTCCCATCCCAGCTCCTTGCCCACCAAGCACAAAGCCCCTCTTTTTCCCCGTTTTGCCCCGGTGTGAGCGGATGGCTGATGCCCACGGTGTGTTTGTACCCACTGGGTCTCACCTCACTGCCCAGAAACTGCTGGGGATTTGGGGCCCTGAGAAGCAGCCTGGCACCGGCAGCACACGGGCACGTGCCGAGGGGTGACAGTGCCAGCAGGGGAGGGCTGGCAGGCACGTGAGGCAGAGCTTGCATTGCTGGCAGGTGGCCCAGCTGCCAGGAGAGACCTGGAAGAGAAAACTCAGGGTGCACCAGGAAGCAGAGGAGTGACTCATGAGGTGTGGTGTGGTGCTGAGTCACGCTCAGCACCCAGACGGGCCCTGCTCAGCTCCCCGTGCCCTCAACCCTCGCTGCCCCTTTACCCTGGGATGCCCCTCCAGGTGTCCCCACAGCTGCCTCACTGGTGCTCTCTGCACATGAGAGGTGGGGGACAGAAGGTGCCATCCCCTGTCAGCAGATGCTGGAGAGAGGCAGCTCGCTGGGAGCAGGACAGCTCATGCCCCCAGTTTCACCAGTTATGGGGTGAGGATTTGGCTGCATAAATAAATCTGATTAATTCAGTGGTGAGAAAAAACAGGGACATGCCAAGGAGCCCTGAAATGCCATCCTCAGCTCTCTGGTGCTGTTTCTCACCTGCTCAGCTCACACACTGACTCCAGAACCGTGTGGGATTCCCTTCCCAGGACACAAAGGGGTTGTTCCCTCATTCTGGGGGTGATATGAGCCCCCCAAGTCAATGCAGCTGAGAGGCAGCTGCAGCAGAAAGGCTGAGGAGCAGATGGATGAGATGGATGTGATTGTGCAAGTGGGATGCTCATCCTCTCTGGGCAGTGTTGCAACATCACCATGGGCTGAGCCTGGAGCGTGGAGCTGAGGACAGATGACAGTGACAGGGGAACCATGAGCTGCTGGACCACTGGTGAACATCTGCCCCAGTGGCTTTACCAATGGGAGTAGAGATCTTCCCCAGCTGTATGAATCCTTCATGATTCTTGGGCAGATGCTTGTGGTGGGGCAGGCAGAGGTGGACAGCTTGGGGACAGGCCAGCCCACGTGGGACATCATCCATTACCCACGCAGCGAGCTCAGAGAACATCTTGTGAGTTGAAGGGAGAACCAGCCCCAGCAGTTCGGGGCCAGCGTCCCTGATGAGGTATGGCCAGCAAATGTGGGGAAAGCAAGAGCTTTCTGCCCAAATCCAGCCACAAACCCAACATCTGTTTGAAATCGGGACGAGCTCAGCTAACGGTTGAGCTCATGCTTGTCCCCATTTCCTCCAGTGCAAGGAGAAAAGAAGCAGCCGGGTGAGAGAGAGGGGTTTGGGCTCCCCAAATTCTGGCTGCTGTTATCCCAGCTGCTCCTCAGGTTCATTCTCCATCCCCTCGCCCAAAAAGTTTCCATTTTCCATTTGCCCATTGTTGCTTGCAAACCCTTCAGGTTCAGCAAAATCCCTGTCACGGGTGTCCCTTCAGTGTCACCCGATGTCAGAGCAGCCACTGCCTCAGCCGCCCACCCGAAATCCCTTCTACAAACCCTCTAACGCAAACCAACTGTGGCAGAAGAAACAAACGAAAACAATTTAATAGGGCGATGGATACTCGGGCCCTTTGTTTGCGCTGGCTGTTAACACCAGAGGAGATGAGGGATGGAAGCAGTTGAAATGTGTATCTGCTTTGGCCGGCGGAAAGTGTGACGGATGCGCCGGCAGACCAATGGCTGAGGATGCTGGGGTGTGCGTGGGTGTGAAAGGAATGCTTGCTGCAAGAAAAGATAAAAAAAAAAAAGAAGAAGAAAGAGCCTTATCAATGGTGTTTGAGTCCAAAGTCTGTGTATTCCTTAGAGAAAGGGTTTCCTCAGTCCCCAGGGGTGATGTTTTCCCTGCAGTGTGAGACTCTGAGGTTTCTGAAGGTTTTAGGGGTGCTGGCTTTGGGCTGGTGCTGTAGGCGTGGATTTAACCCCACAAAGTGCTCATGCAGGGGCACAAACGTGGCCAGTGGCCAGAGGTGACTGTCGTCAGCTCCTCAAGGGAACCTCCTGGGAAATGAGTTTTATTTTTGCAGAGGTGCTTATAAGGCAAAGGGGAGGAAAAAAATAAGGCCCCACCTCGCTGCTGACAGCACGTCCCAGCCAGGAGCAGTGTCACTGCAGTGCTGGTGGCTCTCTCCGTGGTTCATCCCCTGCTGATGAGTGCAAAGATGCTGATGAGCAGGAAGGTGGATGTGGGGGCTCTTCTCCAGCCTCTGGCTTCTCCCTCTTCCGCAGACCCCTGGGCTTTGGGGGGCTCCATGCACCCAGCTCTGAGCCCTGCTCTCCTGGGGAGGCTGACAGATATTTCTGTGGGTTCCAGGTGGTAAATGCCCCACTGGGCAGGCAGCCTGAGGAGGGAAGGGCTGGTACATCCTGGGGGGTGTGGGTGGGGAGACCAGCCCTGGGAAACTCCTTGTCCAGCAGTGGAAGGGCTGGAGATGTTTGGTTCCCAGCAAGCTGCCATGGCCCCAGCCCTGGGGGATCTCTCTCCAGCTTTGAAGTGGCAGAACTTTAATTAATTAAAGAAGTGATTGCAATGAGGTGTTCTTCTCTTCCCTCCCCCTCCCCTTCTATTTATTTAGGCACATTTTTTAGAGGGAAAGGCAGACATTGCTGGCTAGCTCAGCTGTGGCTTTGCACGATGGGCTCCTCGATGCAGCAAGCGACAGGCGGCAATGGGAAAGCCAATATTTTTCAACTGCTTTTTAAAAGGAGTAATTTTTTAATTAGTGAATCCATTCTGGAGAAGTGTTGGAGTTTTACAATGTTGTAGCTGTTCTTGGTGTGTTGCCTAGACTTGGATGTTCTGGCCATAAGAAAATATTATTTATGGCGTTGTAGCTTGCAGCTCTTTTATATTATAATTTGAGAAAGGAAGTTGCTGTTCCCACCAGTGGACAAAAAAATAGCAGAAACAAGGACTGTGGACTTCTGAAGGAGGAAAATAAATAAAAATTAAGAGGCAGAATGGAAACAAACCACTGTGCCAGCCTTGAATCTTTGCACTCCTGAACAAGCTCATCCCAGCATCGCTGCCAGTTGTGCTGGATGCTGTGGCCAGACCCCTGCCCCAATGGCAAGGCCAGAGCAGCAGGGACCCCCTCAGCACTCCCCTGCTCAGTGTTACATGTGTTCCTAAACATTTGTGGATCAGGTTTTTTATTCATGGGCTAATGCACACTTGTTTGCTCATGCCTTACTCAGCCTAAACTCCTATTGAACTCAATTAAGGCTGTCATCTCCAGGAGCACTCAATGTCATTTTTGCCCAAGTAAGGGATGAGTAACGAGGCTCTGAACAGCCCTTGGAGAATAGCAGCCATTTTGTTGCAGTTTTTGGTCCAGATTTCTTACAAGTTAGCATCAGGCCAAGGGTGGAAGAATGCAATATGGCTTTATGAATCACACACAGTTGCTGAATGCGCTGGATGCTTCAGAGCCTGTCACTTCACGGACTGAAGCATTGGCTGTCTTGTCCCAAAACGCTCGAATACAACCAAGCTCATGATGAAAATTAGAAAAATATGTTTCTGGAAGGAACGGGATGCAAAGAACATCCCTTCTCCCAGCAGGGCGCTGGCAGGATCCCTCACCCTGATTTATCTCTGGGGGTTTTGGGTACTGTGGCACAGGCCTGTGGCCAGGGGCACTGGGGCTTTTGCCCCTTTTGGGGCTGCAGTTGCTGATGGTCAGGCTGGGTCGTGGCCAGGGATTTGTATGTGATCAGCTTGCTGTGGCTTAGCACATTACCACCCATCAGCTCTCTCAGAGGAAGTGACCATGGCGTGGATCTTGGCTGAATTCCCTTGAGAAATCCCAACAGCGTGGGCTGAATTCCCATCCTGGGCACCACGGGGTGCGTGTCTGGGAGAAATGGGGCAGCTGCAGATTGGTGGGAGGCAGGGGACTGAGTGTATGTGTGTGTGTGTGTGAGGATGAGGAGAGGGATGAGGGTGTCAGGATAGGAAGGAAGAGGACGATGAAGACGTGTGGCAGGGCATTACAGCGTGCAGGCAATGAAAATGTGCAGAAGGGGATGGAGGTGAGCACAGGGACGCCGGTGAGTGCAGGGGGGCGGGAATGAAGAGTGGGCACAGAGGGCGATGAAGATGTGCAGAAGGGGATGAAGGTGTGCACGGGTGACCCTGCCTGGCTGCGGACGGGACAGGACAAGACGGGACAGCAGCACCTTCGTGGCCCAAGGCCGCATCCCGGGAATGCCGGAGGGAGAAGGAGGAAGAGGAGGAAGGTGAGGAAGGCTCATAGAAAGTGCTCCCATAACCCGGGCCGGACCGAGCCCAAATCCAGGGCTGCCCTTTCCCAAAAAAATAAACCTCCCTGTGGAAGGGAAGTCCCGAGTCCCCGCTGCCCCGACGGGGAGGTCGGGAGGGTCGGGCGGGAGGAAGGGCCGGGAAGAGGAGGAGGAGGAGGAGGTGGAGAAGGAGGTTAGGGGAGGAGGAGGAGGCCCGGCCCGGCCCCGCCGCCTCCTGATTGACTCCCAACTTTCCGCTCCTCCCTCGCATAAACTTTCCCGTCCCTGCGCCTGGCTCCGTGCGCGGTCCCGGGAGCCCGCCGCGCTCCCCGCATTCCTCCGCCCGCCCCGGCCCGGCCCGGCCCCGGCCCCGCTCCGGCCCCGGCCCCGCTCCCGGCACCGCGGCCGGCCCAGCCCCTCCGGAGCACGGAGCAGGTAAGCGCTCGCCGGGAAGAGACTCCCAACCCCCCTTCCTCCGCCTCCTCCTCCTCCTCCTCCAGCCCCTCCTTCCTCCCGGCCCGCAGCGCCTGCCCCGAGCCCCGGCGGATGGCGGGGGGCGGCGGGGTCGCACCAGCCGTGGTCGCCCCCCAGCCGGCAGCTCGGTGCCTCCCCCCGACGCCCCCCGTGGGCTGTGTGCCTGGGGGGGCACGCTCGGGGCTGTTTTGCTCCCCCCCCGTCGTGTCCCGGGGCTCCCGCCCCGTCGGGGTGCGCTGCCCCCGCAGCGGTCCCCGCCGCGTCCCCCCGCGGCGCATCCCCGGGGTGACAAAGGGGCCTTGTGCCCGCACGTCGGGAGCGTTCGGGGCGGGAGCCGGGCGTTGCGGACCGGGGATTGCCCGCCCCGGCCGAAGCCCCCCGGGGGAGCGGCGCGGGAGGGTCCCGGGTGAGGTGCGGGGTCACCCGCGTGTCACGCTACATGTGTGTCACACGCATGTAGGGGATGACCACGCACTGACTGTATGCTAAACACTTTGTGCCTCGTCATAGGGGTGCTTTGCTAACAAGGCGGCAATTAGATGTATAATTTTCAGCAGTGTGTCATCTTTATTATTATTATTATTATTTTATTTTTACACCCTCCTTGGGTTTGGTGTTGTTTTTTTTCCCCTTAACCCCCTTGGAAGGAAAATACGGCCAAGCCCTCACAGAGTCACCCACTTCCAACCCCCCGAAACCGCTCAGGCCCTATACAACACATTTGGCTTCTACTGACTGAGAAAAAAACCAGTTTGGGGAGAAACCAGCTGGAAATGATACCAGTGGCCCAGCTGCTGTGGCGGGCACCCTGCAGCTGCTCACTGCTGTTGGGCGGTTGGCACGGGGAAAGGTG